GTTGGATCAAACCAATCACATTTGAAGAGAACAGTTTTCAGCCTTAACAATCCAGGATACTCTACTTCAATTATTTCTTGCACAACTCCATAAAAATCGATTTCACCCCTCACACAAACTCCATAGTTAGTTGTCGCCCGCTTTGCACCGTGACGGTATGTGTGAAAAACATAGCCCCGAGTGAAATACATTGAGGCTGTAGTTATTTTTGCCATCGGACCTAGTAGTAACTCATGAAACCATGTTGGAAATTCATCCGGATCATTCGGGTCCACCTAATAAGAAAAAAATTCCGCTTTAATTTCTTGATTTGGTTATATAGCAAATTAAAGTAGTCTTTTAATTAAAATTTTATACGTACTTGTCCTTTTAACCACTGGGCATAGTGTTGATCTTTACGATCATTGATTTCAGTTTCAGAAACCCCAGATATGCATTCTTTAACCTCATCAACAAATGTGCTGAGAAAAACAACAAATAGTTATTAATACTGACAACTCATATAAAGATATTATTAATTAAAAAGTATCTTTCATACGATGACAACTCTTCACAATTTAACAGGATATACGTATGTGCACTGTGATAATTTTTTTAGTTTTCCACTAAGACGTCCGATCGGCGAGAATATGTCAGGTACACCTTCAACTGCATATGTATGGCCAACTCCTCCATCATCATATCGACGAGTAGCTCTTTTGCGTGTTCGTACTTTCGGTGCGAAATAGGATGAAGTGAAGTGTGAAGTCTCTTGCGTCAAGCTTCCCGCCACAATTGAGCCTTCCATTTTAGCTAGGTTTTTGGATTTACCTTTAAGATGCTTCATGAAAAGCTCGAACGGATACATCCACCTGTATTGAACGGGTCCACCGAGCTCTGCTTCGTGTGGGAGATGAATAGGAAGATGTTCCATAACAAAAAATGATGGTGGGAAGATCTTTTCCAAATTGCACAACAAGATTGGAATATTCAATGCCAGTTGTGATATTACATCAACTGATAATGTTCGTGTACTAAGATCCCGAAAAAAAGCACCAATGCCTCTAATAGCTTCATGGACGTTTTTGGGCAAGAGTTCAGCAAATGCAAATGGAAATAATCGTTGCATAAACACATGACAGTCATGGCTTTTCATCCCAGCAAACTTTACCCCCTTCTCAACAGATTTGGAAAGATTAGAGACATACCCATCAGGAAATTTAACGTCAGAAGAAACCCATCTGAACAATGCTGACTTTTGATCTGCACTCAACCGAAATACAGGAACTGGTGGTTTCCCGTTTCTCAGTAGATACAACTCACTTCTGTTGCATAAATCAGGCAAGTCCAATCTTGACTTACCATTGTCTTTTGTTCTTCCCGCTACGTTCATAACTGTATGCATGATGTTATCAAAAAAAAAATTTTCAATGTGCATGACATCAAGATTGTGTCTGAGCAGATGATCTTTCCAATAAGGTAGTTGCCAAAAGATACTTTTCTTGTGCCAATTATGATGAACTCCATATCCTTCAGGCATATTTGCAGGAGTGTGCCAGTTTCCCCCACGCGTTACTGTTTCCTCTGCCCTCCAATGATCGATTTGCGCCTGTATATCAGCTCCTGTTAAATTAACGGGTGGAGGGACATGTACACTTTTGTTCTTCATAAATAACCTCTTGTTCCTCCGATATGGATGGTTATCCGGTAAAAACCTCCGGTGACAATCAAACCAACAAGTTTTTCTACCATGTTTTAGCTGAAACGCATTAGTTCGATGAAGACAATAAGGACAAGATAGCCTCCCATGTGTAGTCCATCCTGATAGCATACCATAAGCGGGGAAATCGCTTATTGTCCACATAAGCACAGCCCGCATAGTAAAATTTTTCCTCGTAGAACAGTCATATGTACGAACGCCAGTATACCATAACTGATTCAACTCATGTATGAGTGGCTGCAGAAATACATCGAGAGCTCGCTTCGGATGATTTGGACCTGGAACCAAAATACTTAGGAAAAGAAATTCCCTTTGCATGCACAAATCTGGAGGAAGGTTATAAGGAGTTAGGATTACTGGCCTATTGTCTACCAGACATATCAAATGGACTAAAACCATCAGTGCACAGACCAAGATAGACATTCCGTTTGAACTTAGCAAAATCTGGGTATACCATATTGAAGTGTTTCCATGCCTTTGAATCTGATGGATGAACAACTTCTCCATCTACTTGTGTATGTTCTGCATGCCATCTCATTGATGCAGCTGTCCTTTCAGATTGATAAAGCCGTTTTAACCTATCAGTTATAGGGAGATACCACATACGTTGGTACGGTATCCTTTTACGCCCACCAGTTTGCGGCCTGTATCTTGGTTTTGGAAAAATCGACATTCCTCCAGCTGATTATCATCTTTCCAAAAAATCATACAGTTGTCAACACATACATCTATCATCTCAGAAGGTAGATCAAGACTAAAAATCAACTTCTGAATTTCATAGTATGTTCCCGCTGCCAAGTTATCCTCCGGTAGATACTCCTTCAGATGATCAGACCAATCATCCATGCAAACCTCAGCCAGGTTATGATCTGTTTTAATTGACATCATCCTAGCTGCCAACGATAATTTAGACAAGCCTTCTCTACATTATTCTTAGATTGGCTGATTAGCATTGTCTAACAAATCATAAAATTGTTTGGCATCTACATTAGGTTCCTCAACAGCATTACCAGTATGCGTTTCATGAAATGCATCAGTCACCATTTCGTGCATCCTATCATGATCTACACTTTGATCATATTGATACTGATTAGGCTGATGACCATAATTCGATTCATCAATATCAACATGACTTTGATAATTACTACTACTACCAGCATTCCCATGAGTATTACTGCCATATCCTTCTCCATGTAGATACCAAACAAAATATTGCGGCATAAACCCTTCATTTAATAAATGCGTCCACACGGTTTTGGTTAGTGTATACCTCGTATTCTTGCATTTCAAACAAGGACAAAACATCTTCCCACTATCTTTCGTTCTCTCCATATTTGTAGCCTGAAACATAAATATATCTAACCCGTTCTTGAACTCTTCTGTCAACGCCCCATCTGAATCTTTACGCATATACATCCAACTTCTTAGCTCGTATATAGACATCTTGAAAATAAACTCAAAATACTATCTCTTTTTATTGATTAGACAATTGTGTCACGATCTAGCCACGTGAATGGAGTAAATTAACCTTATAATATTATTACTTCTTTTTTTCAAAGTAATATAAGTCTTAATTCGGGCTTCCAGCAATGGACAACCCAATATATAAGGATTTACAACACTATACTAAAATTTAAGAGACCTACAATGGGTCTCAAAGATGAAGATGCTCTTATGTTTGAATGATGATGTGTTGTGATTGAAAGAATGAATGAAGATCTATTTATAGGAAAATTTCGGGCTTTACAACGCTTTTACGACGAAATTTTACGACGAATTTACATTCAAAAATAATATTACGATGAGTTTACGACGATTATGCGATAAAATCTATCCTGCAATTGTTAGGTAAACATGTTTTAAATGTTTTCCACCTAACTTCTTTCCGACGTAAAATCGTCGTAATATGTACATCGAAATGCAGTCGTCGTATATTCGTCGTAATGTTACATCGAATTTACGACGATTTTACATTTACTAGCAAATCTCTCGTTATCGATGTATAATCTTCGTAATTCGTCATAAATTGTACGTCGAGTTTACGACGATTTTTTTATACGACGGTGTTACGACGGTTTTAAAATTAGACGTAAGATCGTCGTAAAATCGTTGTAAACTTGCAACGATTTGAAAACCGTCGGAATGGACCGTTGGAAAACGATTGTTTTCTTGTAGTGTAATTGGGATTCATAATAATTTCAACCAATCAAAAGTGTTAGTTTCAACCAATCAAAAGTGTTGGAAGGAAATGTCGACCAATAGGAAATAGGGAAGTTTCAGCCAATTAAAATATTTCGGACCAAATTTTAAGCCAATCAGAAATCAGGTCGATCTTGGTCTTATTCTACTTTCCTGAGTTTGCTGAAATCAGAAAACTGGGTTTGCATGCAACATCTCCTCTCTTCGGGAAATTCGACAGGGCTTCTACTCTTCCATTCCAACGCCGAAGAACGAGGTAAGTTTTTCTTCATCCTCGGCGTCTGTATTTTCTTGTGAAGTCGCCAAATGATTATTTTTCCCTGGAACAATTGGGTTTTGGATATAATTTCGATTTACAAAATAGGGCAATTCAGAATGGGGAGAGTTAATTTTTTTATTCACATTGGTCGCATATGCTCTTTTAATTGACTGGTGAGGTTTAATCGTAATGAGATTTAGTTTGTACACCAAATTCGCCGATTTAGGATAACTAGGGGACAATTTGGTTATAGTAGGAGTTTTCGTATAACTCGGAACAATTGGTATTAATGAGTTAAGTATATATATATTTTTTTCAGAACACAATGATAACAAACATATTGTTTGATTATGGAGGACATTATTCATGTACCGATGATAAATGGATTTCAAGAGAAGGCTCCATGTACGATATAATGTTTAAGACATCAGGCTTAGAGGAAATAAGCTATTCCGATTTAGTGGGTAGGATATGCAAGAAGGTTGGGATAGGAGAATCATCCACAAAGTTGAAACTGAGTTATATCCCGGTAGTAGTGCAAACAAAGAAACAGTGGTATATTTTGGATGACGATGATCTCGGTATCTATTTGACATTGTTTGATAATGAGGGACGCAGAAGTGTCTTGTATGTAGAGGTCATCAATGTAGATGGAGTGTCTGAGGTGGCCGAGCAAGTTTCACATGTAGAGAGGGTAAGTCATGTTGTTGTGAATGTCAAGGAGGTGAACGCAGCTAATGATATAGCGACTGATGGCGGTTTTGTCGGCAATGCTGAGTTTAATGATGGTGCTATTTTTATTTACACAGGAAACAGTTCAACAGAACAATAAATGTGCCAGTAATGGGGAATGACGAAGGTGTTAATCTATCTCGTGAGAATGAGGAAAACGGTGGAGATCAAGATGACATAAGTCAAACATATCGAATGCTTGATATTGTTGATCCTCCAGACTGTGTAGAAGAACAACGTATTCAATGTGAATGGGTAGACAGTTTGAAACTGAGAGTTGGTGCAGAGTTTAGCTGTAAGCAGGATCTAATAGATTTAGTTTACAGAGGTTCTCATAAACATTTTTTTGGCATCACTGTTACAAGTCTTATAAGAAACGATACTATGTGAAATGCGGTCAAGCTGAAACTGGATGTAACTGGTATATAAATGCCGCTAAGACAGCTCAGTCACATATTTTCACGGTTAGAGTATATAGGAAAATGCATTCTTGCTCTCGGGCTTCTGCGTGTACTAGCAGCAAACGAAGGAAAGGCACACCTGGGTTAGTTGCAGGCGTTGTTAGTAAAACTTACCCAGGTCGATTAAAACCACCACCTCCTAGAGATATCATGGCTTTGGTTCAAACTAGAGGTCGTGTGGAGCTATCATACTCTATGGCATAGAGAGGCAGACCGAAAGCTATAAGTTTTGTTCGTGGTACTCCACAAGAGAGTTTCGAGCATCTGCATTCGTATTTGTACATGATAGAACAGTTTAATCATGGAACGACATCAAGTGTTGAACTGGATGAGTTAGGAAGATTCAAGTACCTATTCGTCGCTCTGGGTCCTACCATTGAAGGGTTTGCGGCAATGAGGAAAGTGATAATTGTTGATGCAACTTTTTTGAAGAATGGATTTGGTGGATGCCTTGTATTTGCAACAGCTCAGGATCCGAATCACCACCATTAACCCCTTTCTTTTGGGGTAATTGATGGGGAAAATAATGATAGTTGGAACTGGTTCTTCACTAAACTTAAAACCCGTATACCTGACAGTTCTGAATTGGTGTTTGTTTCTGACAGGAATGTAAGCCTGATCAATGCAATAAGGGATGTGTACCCGCAAGCTAAGCATGGTTATTGCATTTATCATTTGGCCCAGAATGTGAAAAAGAACGTTCGGAGAGAGAAAGAGTTAGTTGTAGGCAAGTTCATGGAAGTTGCGAGAAAGTATACAGAGGCTGAGTTTCTTGTGGCTTATGGTCAACTGGGAGAAAGGTAACTGGATGCAATTATGTATTTATGTAATAGTTTGCTTGAGGAAAAATGGGCAAGGTGCTATTTTCCGGGAGAAAGGTACAACATCGACACTAGTAACAGTGTAGAGTCTATGAACAGCGTGTTTGATGATGCGAGGAAGTATGCTTTATTACCTATGATGGATGCCATCTTGTCAAAGGTAACTGAGCTGAACTCGTTTCTGCTTGAATACGCTGTGGTCAGTGGAGATGGGAAGACTTATCTGGTGAACTTGAAAACCAAATCTTGTTCATGCAGATGTTTTGATATAGACAAATATCCTTGCGTCCATGCACTTGCTGTAGTGAGAATTTTTATGGACAGGGAAGATAGAAGTGAAGACATCTACTCGTATGATTTGTGCTTGAAGTATTATACTACTAAATTGTGGGCACTTGCATATGCCAGGACGGTATACCCTGTTACTCATCGTTCACAATGGGTAATTCCAGATGATATCAAAAAGAAGACTGCCCCAAAACCACCTGAGGTCCCGAAAAAAGCTGGAAGAAGACAATAGAGAACATTTGCATCGGTTGTAGAGCGTGGGCCAAGGCCAGTTAATAAGCGTAAGAAAAGGCAGGGTAATACTGAGGATGGAGTCGGGAATGCGCATGGTAATACTCAGAGGAATGAAGGCAGGGATCCAAATTTCAATGCCAGTAACCTGAGGGGAATACGCATGGTAATACTCAGGGGAATGAAGGCATGGATCCAAATTTCAATGCCAGTAATCCTGAAGAGAATGCGCAGGGTTATACTCATGGTGGAGGCTGGTGGCCTTATTTTAATTGCAGTAATCCTGAGGGTAATACTCAGGGTGGATCTAGTACTCAGGACATATGACAATTTTAATTTGTATCTTATTAATAAACTGGTACAACTATGTGAGAATAAATTGGTACAACTATGTGAGAATGCTCTGTTTCATTTCATACGAAATAGTTCATAGTAATACGGAGTTGACTAAACAGTTCATACTAAACAACAATAGAAAATTAGTTCATAGTAAAAAGAAGTTGACTACAAGCAGAATACGGAGTTTTTAACTAATCAATAACACAAACATAACTAGTTCCAACGGATATGTAGCCATCCCTAGCTAGTAGTCAGTTACATAAGTAGTAAACTCTTCGCACATTGGTAATGCATGTAGAGGAAGCAGAGCTCACAGCACTTGTTGTAGTGCTGGAATCAACATGCAGGAAAATCGGTCAAGACTGCTGGCAGATATTGGAAACCATCATTCACCATTATCAACATAGTGTTCATTACTTGATCCCCCAGTTTTCCATGTACATCATCCGTGATTTCCATCGTTTGATACGGTCTAGGATCTCCAGGCCCCTTGGATAGAAACCATATGCGGTGGCGCAGATTGCCATCATGACTGTCGCCACATCAATTCCCGCCTTAAAGACCCTGTTAAAAAAAGGCACCGAATTGTCAATCTCAACATTGAGAATCATCCTGCTCATGCCACGAAGGTACATGCGTATGGATTACCATGACTGACCGCCGACTCAAAGAAATCCGGGGAGCGAGCAATTAAACGGGTGCTTAACGAATTCAGACAGGTTCAACACCTTGATGACTTCTAGATCTTTCAACATCTGGCTTAGAACCTTCGACGTACAACCAAATGAAACAGCATCAGCAGCAGACTCCCTCCCTACCCTTTGATAACTAAGAGTTTTTGAGGCTCTTTGTAGAGGTTATCAATCCCCTGTCTTGTAGTACAAGGGGTTATCAATCCAAACTTGTGTGCGAGACACTAATCTATGTTACTTGTGATCTTAAGTCAAGATGAACAGGTAAAGGTTTTAGCTAAACTATGTAACAAGCAAATGAACATGAAAATGAAATAAAAGATGAGATCTAAACTAGATAAAGATGCAACTGATTAACAGTAAATGAGCAAATGATTCGGATGATGAATGTATATGATAAAGGCAGAAGCTTTAGACAGGATATATGACTCGGGTGCTTCCAAGCTAGACTAGTGAGTTAATGAATCAGATTTATCAAGCGGTTTCATTTAACATGAACTCAAAGTATGTTAATCTTCTCATGAAAGTATTAAACATCTAAACTGATCCTTTTTCATACCAAAATCCCTTTTGAGAAGCATAAATCAGTCAGCTTTAAGATTCAATTCAATAAGTCATTTAAGAGAACAAACTATCACTCTCGCGATGAAAGACTCTTAAACCTTTAACCGAGTGATTCAGACATTTCTACAAACACTTTTGATGCGAGATATGTCTCAGATCTGAACCTCAAGTGATGTGCTTGGATCCAGCTTAGAGATTTTGTCGGTTAAAGAATGAAACATGCAAGACTAGACCCCTAAACTCACTAATCTATCATGAAAGCACCCAATCTACCTATCTAAAGCCGCTTAAACGACTACTCACTGATCATTATGAGCTCACCAAGTCCTTTGCAAGACGTGTAGCTAGTCATGATAAGGAGTTTAATGCTGGAGAATAAAAGAAATAAAACAAGAACAAGATTCTGATGCAAAAACGAGATATCGGATTAGATTAATCAAGTTTCACAAAAGAGGCAAGTTCTTAAAGCTAAAAGAGGATAAAAGATAAGATCCTTAGGTTTTTGGTCCTAAAATCTATTTATAGCGAAGGGAAAGTGTTGCGGGTCAGCCCGGAACAAACCGGGTACTGAGCCGCCTTCTCGGGTCATTGGGTGAGCACCACGGTGTGTCGGAGTGTGAAGCCGAGGTCTTAATGTCGAGAGGTGCACGTGAACAAAGATCAAGATGGAGATCTCGTGAAGAACACGTCAAGAACATGCATGAACCCTAATCTTCGATCCGTCTTCACGAGTGTTATCTTAAATTACCTTGTTCTTGATTCCGGAGTTATGACAAGGGAGCTCGCCATGTAATGCCGCGGAGCTTGGTAGTCGAGGGGTTTAGGAAGACGGAGTCCGGCATGCAATGCCGAGGTCTTTGTACAGAGGTGCATGTTCAACACTTAGTCGTTTTTCGCTTCACTTCCCTTGCATGCATGCCTTGATCTCAACATACCGAGGGTTCAGTACGAGGTCTAGCCCAAAATGCTCTCAAGAGATGAACCTTGGCCTGAGCAGTGTCGAGGTAGCGATTCCGAGGTCTGTAGAAACACTTAGCGCGTATCGCAACTCATTAGGGCTCATATCGACCAACTTGTCTTCCGGAAGCAATAACTTTCAGCACACGACTCCAAATGCTTTGAGACCCGTTCCATAGTCAAGATGACTCATTCAGCTCAACCTTTGGTGAAGAAACCATCGGAGTTTGGGAGGTGAAAGGCTTCCTGGATTGCTCATCTTTGTACCGCATCGGAATGACCAGAAAGTACAGCTTTTGGACCGATGAGTACTCTGAAGACAGTATCTTCCAAACCGCCGCTCCGAATTGAGTGCCCCAAGTGTTCCGGAAAGGTCTTTCATAGATCTCATACTTTGATGAAGACTCGGTAGACTGGTTCGTAACGGAAGGGCTCCGTCCTACGTAATTTTTGAAGCTCAGCTGATCGGCGTTTGGGTACATGCGAGACAGGCATGCCTTCCAGAGGCGATATCTCTCTTCTCACTGGTCCGAATTGAAGATTCCAACTGTTCTGGGTTCTTGGCTTGATTATCTCCAACTTCGATGAAGACCCCGTCAACTGATTCGGACTGGAAGGTTCCCCGGATTGGTGATCTTTGAAGTGCGCGGGTGAAAATAGATTTTGGCCGAGAAATGCTTCCCGCGGTAAGGAAAATGTCCGAGAATCATGTACCGCGGTAAGCTTTTTAGCCGATAAATCTTCTCGCCTCGGCGTAAAACTTCACCCGAGGGGATTTTCACCCGATACTCATTTTTAGCCGATAACGACCGTTCGGTAAGGATTTTGGCCGAGGTTTTCGTCCAGCCGGTACGAGTTTTGGCCGAGAAATTCCTCCAAGCGGTTTTCACCAGTTTTGACCCTTTTCTTCACCGTTTTCATTCCTGATCCTCCCCTTGAGCTCCAGATAGCTTCCAAAGCACCTGATAAAGACTTCAAAACATGCAAAACTCTTTGGGACCTAATGCAAGTCCTAAAACCTATTTTGATGCCTAAAGACTCAATATACATGAGAGAATACATGATATGAACTCTAAAATGCAGCCTAAATGATGCAAAATATAGACATATCACCCTTAAGAATATATCAATCAACACATCTCGTAGCTGGAAAAGCACGTTGTTTGTCATTCTGACGAAATCTTAAAAGAGAGGGTTTTGAAATTTGAATAGATAGAGGAGAGAAATATCTTCAATATGGATTTGAATATGGATTTGAAATTTGAAATGTGTTGAAATAACGGAACCTATTACAAATATGTAATGGATAAAAAAATAAAAATATAAAAAATCAGAAGCATTGTCAGAAGGGAAAAAAACGTTACAACTATGTTCTCACAATAGTTAACAATTTTAATTTGTAATAGTATGAATAACTTGGTACAACTATGTTCAACTATTTTCAGCACTTGGTTTTGGGTTTGCTTGTTCTCTCGTGCTAAAAATAAAGAAAACTCTATGTGTCAAATGATTTTCTAACAATTATGGAAAACGAGTGAGAATGTTCTGTTTCATTTCATCGGAAAATGAGCTTCCGTAAGAAATAGACACATATCAGTTACAATCAGTTACTTTTTACTTTATCACATAAAGGGTTGTGGGCCAGACAGAGTAAGTGGAGTAGATGACTATACCTTTATCAGACATGACATTTTTCAGACATGACATTTTTCAGACATTCTCAGTTAATATATTATTAAAATATATGAATACATTCTGTTTTGGTTCTAGGTTTCGGTATTTATCGGTTCGGTAAACCAATTTCAAATTACAATAACCATGAAATCGATTTCATATACACCAAATTATATGAAATCGATTACATTCTCGTAGATTGTATGCATAGTTATGTTATGGTTAACATTTAAACTAGCCAAAATATGCAATATATAAATCTTTGAACTTTGAAACAAGTTCTCATAATACACATCATAGTTTTATGAAGAGTTCACGATGAGTAACCACATAAGGCATCGAATATAACGTAAAAAAGCGAAAACGAAATCTGATTACATGAACATGATGGGGCAACAAATTAAGTAGTACTTGTGAAAAGTTCAACTACATAGTTACATATTTAATATAAGTATAACTAGTTTTTTTGGTTAAAATCGGAAATGTACAACTACTTGAGAGTGTGTATAACTGTCATATTACATACAAAAACGTATCAAACCTCATATGAAGAAGTGACATGTGTCCACGCGTTATTGGATATTAGCTATTGGCGGCGGCACGTGAGCGAATTCTCCACGTGAGGGATGGCCCCATTTTCTGCGTGTAATACTTAAATAATATTATATTTGTTAGTTGTAATATAATTCAAATTTGAATTTCCCCCCAATACCCAAATTCATCAAAATTCGAACTTCCCCCCATTTTGAATTTCATTTTACATATTTCTATTCTGTCTCTCTCTCTCTTGGGATTTCCTCTCTCTTGGGACATTCCTCTCTCTCTCTATCTCTCTTCAAATTTGTGAAATTCCTTTGCTACAGCGACTATGGACCCGACCTACAACGATGAGAAGAGAAACAAGAAGCTTATCGACCGCCTTTACCACGTAGCCGATGCAAAATTTGGGATTCCAACAGTTTGTCCATGTGGTGGAAGAATCATCCAGGAGATTTCTGAAGATCCATGAAAGAGATACTACACCTGAAAAATGTATAAGGTTTGACTTACTTTGATTTTCTGGATTTAGATTAATTTAAAATTCATGGGTTGAGTGTATAAGGTTTAAGTTTATGAATTGTTGTGTAGAACGACGGCTACCACTTTAGGGTAAAATGGGATCACGCTGTCGATGATGAGATTTCTAGGCTAAAAGGTGAGATTAAGGACCTGCGCTCGAGGATTGCGAAAATGTCAAACCATGAATTTCAAATCAAGCAAATGCGCATGGAGCTGAACAACAATGCTGAAGAGATTGCAAAGCTGAAAGGTGTATTGGCCGGTTTAGGGTTTAATGTGTAGAACTGATACAGTTCTTTAAGAATCCCATTGTTTAATGTATCCTTGTTTAATTCCCAGATTGTTTCATTCCCAGATTGTTTCATTCGCAGACTAAGTACTTATCTTATCCTTAATTTCTGATAATTTAATTTTACTGAGTTATGGTTTGACAAGTGTTCTTAGTTGGGCTATATTATACCAATTTGTACTAGTTATTATAATTTCAAGAATTTGCACGTAGTTGGGCCGAATTATACCAATTAGTACCAGATTTTAGGGGTTCCCAAAGTTACACGTAGTTGGGCTGAATTATATCAATTAGTACTAGATTTTAGGGGTTCCCAAAGTTACACGTAGTTGGGCCGAATTATACCAATTAGTACCAGATTTTAGGGGTTCCCAAAGTTACACGTAGTTGGGCCGAATTATACCAAATAGTACCAGATTTTAGGGGTTTCCAAAGTTACACGTAGTTGGGCCGAATTATACCAATTTCCACCAGAGATTTAAATTTCCCTAAATTGAACGTAGTTGGGCCTAATTATACCAATTTGTACCAGAACTTATAATTTCTTAAATTTGCCCTGGACGAATTAACCCCATGTAAACAATTATACGACATTCTATTATTTAGGGTTTCTTTATATTGTACGATTATTTCACATATTAAAGAATTAGATTCGTAATACTTACCTGAATCACAAAGCGATTTGAGTAGATCCTTACTAAGATGGTGCAGGAAGTGGTGGATGAAAAATATGAACAACTTAGGAGGCTGGTATTTGGATGTTTCCTCCAAACTCTTCGCTCAGGCTCCTAAGTTGCTCATCTTCTCATCAACCACTTTCTGTACGATCTTAGGGTTTCATATCGAGAAGGATAAGTAAGTGTTTCTTTCTAAAAGGAAATGAAAGGTTGGGGTGATGAAATGAGATGGAGACTAGGGTATTTAAGGATAAGTGGGCGGTGATGCATGTACGCGTTACAATTATAATCTAAGACTGGTACAACTACCAAGCCTGGTAAACGATATCATTTGTTATCATTAATATATTGAAAATAAATTAAAAATTTTATTCCAAATAATAATCAATGTTGGAAACGAGAATAACAGAGATATCATTGCAATTACAAATTAAGTGAAAATATCAAAATTAAAAAAAAAAACAAAAATATAAAATAAGAAAACAAAAACATATCTTAAGAAAATGCGGCCATGCCATTTTGAGAGAGTTCACTTGATGAACAAACAGTTATTGAAAATTAGGGTTTCCGACAAGTCGAGAATAAATAGATGTTACAATGAATTAAATGAAATGAAAGAAATGAAATTAGTAGTGGGGTATTTAAGGAAAATTGAGGCGTTGGTTATTATCATTAATCTATTGAAAATGGGATTAATAAAATTCATTGAAACACGACTCTTCGAAAAAAAATTTATTCATTGAATATAACTGCTTCCTTTACTCATCCTCTCCTTGACTATATATATATATTCCTGATCTTACCCTGGAGAAACGTTGTCCTTCAAAAACACATAAACCCTAAAATAATCATCAATATCTGACACGCTGATCTCAGACTCTTCATCAAGATGAAATACCCATCATACACCTTAAAAGCAAGAAGGATGGGTATTTCACTTGATGAAGAGTCAGATCAGCGAGTCAGATCTTACCGTGGAGAAATGTCGTCCTTCAAAAACACATAAACCCGAAAATAATCATCAATCTCTTACTCGCTTATCTCAGACTCTTCATCAGATGAAATACCCATCGTACTTACACCATAAAAGCAAGAAGGATGGGTATTTCACTTGATAAAGAGTCAGATCAGCGAGTCAGAGTTTGGTCAGCGAGTTTGATCACCTGATGTTGCAGACTGGGAAATACAAGGTTTAATGTTTGTTCAGGCAAGAAAAACATGATTACAAGTAGAAGGCGTTGATTGGCGTTGATTGCTCATGCTTATACTTGAAATCTTGTTTTTTTTTTCCTGAACAAAATTAGGCTTTGTAAGATGCAAAGACGATGTTGGTTTTTGTATTCTGTTTTTCACTTTTGGTTTTTGGTTTCAGTTTTTGATTTTAGAATTTTGGATATCTTCGTTTGTAATTTTTGGTTTAACCTCTGTAAATTTAAAAAGATATTTTTAAAGAATAATTACTTTAAATAAGATAATAAATTCCCGTGATTTACGCTTACCCATTATGAATGAAAAACGAGGCGTCTGCTTGATGACATCTTCATGCGTAACCAGTATAAATGGGGCTATAAATGAGTGTGGATATAGGGTAAATTAAGAATAAATTTGTCGATTCTCGATGTAAAACTGGTCCAACTACCAAGTCTTATCAGATGTTAGGATTGCATGTAGGTTATTAAAACGTCAACGTTACGAGACCCAAAAGTTTGTGAAATATTTCCATTAATCACAAAAAACATAATAATAACCAAATCAAAACAAAATATAAACATACAGAAAACATAATAATAAGTTCAACGAAAACTAAAAAAAACATAAAAAAACACAATTATTTAGAGTCTTTTCCGCCATGGATGTTATGTTAACCATCCATGGTGTGGATCTTGGTGAAGCTACGTGCGAGTTCCTCGTAGCTTGTCATGTCTTCCCGGTACATCACCGCCACCTCCTCCCTCACGACGTCGCCTTCCGCCACCAGCGGATGCAATAGCATCTGAGCCAGACTCATCAGCATCTGGGCCACAGATCTCGCGATGTACCACGTATCAGGCATGAGCATCGGATGGAAGATGTTGCTACGGTGGCTCACATTGGGGTGGAAGATGGGGGGGGTCCGGAAGTGCATCTTCGGTGGCTTCCAGGGGAATTGCGGCGGGAAGATGATGCGGAGGTTGAAGACACCCCCTTCGTAGGGAGTTTCCGGCAGACCGGTGATGGTCACCGCCCACACATACACGCCCTCCGCCTCCACCCCGGCGGAGTATATCGGCGACGGGTTTTGCTGGAGGTCAAGCAGGTATCGGCGCATCCAGTACTCGGGACATGTTGATAACGCTGGACGAATTTTGTGAGGAAAGTGGGCAATTTGGGAAATTTAGGGTTTTGAGTTAGCAAAGGGAAAGATAAGATTTTTTTTTGAAGTTTAGGGAATGTTTCTTTCTCTGCGATGGTGTTATGAGAAGGCGAGGGTGTGGTATTTATAGAAGAATAAGTTAAGCGGTGGCATGCATTAATGGCGTCGTCTCACTATGGGATTTCTCTCACGATACAAATGCTGCCTTTCTCTATTTCTACACGCGTTGTTTTAGATAACATAATTTAATAACGACAAGACAGTTACCCGACAACCAAAGAACAACAATATTTTAAACCGACTAATACTCATCAGCAGATGGTTCCAAGATACTCTGGATATCTTTGGTATTACCGAGTGTTTCGTTGAGGTCCGACAGAGAAAATCCTTTGAGAGGGAATGGTCTGAACTTTGTCTTACAAATCCGAGGACACCCTATGTCTGCTCCTTTAGCTTATTCTCTGTATGTGTCCTTCAGACAAGGTATTGCTTCAAAAAGTAACAACTTCAAGGGAGTAACAAAGCCAGGAAATATCCAAGAATCCGTTTCGACGACCCCATTGAAGTGCCTCAATGTATGTTCAATTTCCTTTAGATTCGCATCAAATGAATTCCTCCCCCAAGGAAATGTTCAACACCCATCTAGATCTTCTACCATCCTCTAGAATAAAGGGTCTACCGAGGGAGGTCCCTTCCCAGTCTTAGCCTTACCACCTAACAAGCTTGCTAGAAAGTACAAAACACACATTCTTAAGCGATCAGGACCACCACACATCTTTTCAAGCTTCTCTTTAACAACAGCAAGTGCAGAGACAGTTCTTTTTTTTAAATACTTCTCCTTAAAATCACTACTGCCCATCTTCTCATAATTCTTTGGATAATCATGGCAGTCTAATCCAGATATGAGTGCATGTTCCTTAAGCGAATACCAAATTGGAACTTCATTAACAACAAACCAACACTCTCTCCTCTTGTTTGTCTTTGCTGTGCGTAGAAGGAGCATCCACAACCCCTGAGTCTTATGGGTTATATCCAAATACATGGCCTTGTGCATATGCCAGAAGTGCTTGAATTGAAGATGCTCGCTAAACCATCTTAGCTCCTCGGGTCTCAGTCCCAGAGACGGCGACTCCAGATTCTCCACTGCTTTGTGGATCCATCACTGAATACCTAATTTTATTGCCTTGTTGTACTGATTTGGACTAAAATACATACTCAGTGGTTGCATTGGCGGCTGGTTTTCCTCATCATTACGCGTTTGCTCATTACGTGTTTGCTCCTCAACTTCACTACGAAAGTATAATGGCTCCCACAGCGTTAATTGAAGCAACTCACTATTTCCTCTGAATGATGTCATTACAGTATTTCTAACAAGTTAAGACACATATAATTATCAACGGGATCCAGACATCAATCAAAGTGAACTGAACTCAAATTTTGCAGGTAATACTAATTTCAGTTCCTTGTTCCTAAACCCAGGTATCAGACACTACAGATTCATTTGTAAGCCTTCTGCCTAAGATAAGCTACAGTAAAACGGTAAAAACGAAGAAGAACAAAGAACGAACCTGATGCGAATTTGAAGATTGTGACCAGTTTAGAAAATCGAAGACTCTTCATAGTATCCTCGTTGTACCTAATGGAACGAATTTCTCAGAAATGATTTATATTCGAATTTAGGTTTATTCAAATTTAGACTCGAAATCGGATCTGGTATAGTTAGTTGGGTGTGGATATTTGACCCATAACTGGTTGGGTCAGTAAATGTTATGATGTTTTAAGGGTGAGTAAATATTTTCTCGCTTTTTCAATTTAAAAATAATTTTTTTAAAAAATTAATTTTTATAATGCTGGTATATGAGAATAAATTGCTTAATCGGGTATATGAGAATTTGATTCTCCGATGGAGTTGGAGAGACTAGAGAGAGTAAGTAAAAGTAACTAACTACAACCACCTAATCGGAAAAGAGAGAATTATGCAAGGACTTTAACCTCAAATACTCTTAATGAGTTTAAAAAATTCTATATACTCCCCTTTTATTCTACATACTCCTCTCTATTTTTCACTATTTTTACTTTACCCTTTATTTAAAAATGGACCCCACTCTCCATTTAAACTAAACCAATATCCAATTAATTTTGGTATTACTCAACCCAATCACCCAACCACCCAACCAACCAACCCTAATGGGACCCATTATTCTTCTTCTTTCTCTTTCCATCGATGTATTAAAAATCAAACCCAGAAATCTCCAACTCTAGTGGAGACGACCATCGACCATAACAGAACCAAACACATATCCGGCGGCGTTCTGGAGCTGCTCTCAACGACCCTCAACTCAATATTCAAGGTGATTTCTTCCCCTTTACAACAAAAATAACAAGTTTTTATGTGTTTAGGATTTAAAAATTATGTTTGTGAATTTTTTCAGTTACTGAACTTTATGTATACGTATATTCAGGCTTTACATTGGTTATTTAAGTATATTATAGTACTAAAATACGTATGAATCTGGTTGAATCATCGATCTGAATCAATCAATTCTATAAATAACCTCAAGCTTTTTAGTACAACTGGTATTACTGTGACAACTGGTACATATGGTACTATTGATGGATAACTATAAATATATTCTGTTATGTTTGGGAGTTTTTTTACTGAACTTTATGTATACGTCTATTAAGGCTTTACATTGGTTATTTAAGTATATTATAGTACTGAAATACGTATGAATCGTACTGAATCATCGATCTGAATCGGTTTATTCTATAAGTAACCTGATTTTTTTTTAGTACAACGTGTATTACTGAAACAATTGGTACAAATGGTACTAGTGATAGACAACTGTAAATAAATTCTAATGAAGAGGACGATCTATCCAGTCCCCTATAAAGATGACTGGATTGTTCCTGACCATATCTGAGAAAATGTGTATTTTCTCCAGAAATAGTTAAGAAAAAAGGACGCATCAACATAACTAGGCATCATCAGTTGGAGAACATCGAGGGAGAGGAAGAGGAGGAAGAGGAAGAGGAAGAGGAAGAGGAATAGGAGCATGGTTGTATAATGATCCTAACGAAGCAGAACAAGAGGAAGAGGGATAGGAACCGATGGTGATGTTTTGGTACAACTAGTATAACTATCATGGACAACTAGTGTGAACTTGATGTTTTTTCTGTTTTATTTAAAATACCGCATTTCGGAAAACAGTATGTGTTTAAAGACTCTATTTCATATTTATTTTGATGAAGTAAATCCAACTTGATGCATTTTTGAATATTGAGAACACAAAAGTCATATTTTCAAAATATCTACCTTATACTTTTATGGCAACTATTACAACTAATGCTATATTGTTATAAAAAATTAACAAAAAACATAATTTTATACATTTAATTATCTATATGTGTCTTAAATGTCTTATTATTACCTATTTTCAAAAGTACAACTATAAAAATCTAATTTCTAATACAATATAATTAATAAAATCGTTTTATCTATGAAAGTACAACTCTGTGTAATAAAAAAAAATAGAGTACAACTTACCTACTTGGGTACAACTTTGTATATTATTTGATGGCGCAACAAAAGTAATTAATTATTCTTATAATTATTTTGACGGCTCGTGTAATTTGACGGCGCACATGTGGCTTTTATTTTTTATTATAATTTTTTTTTATTTTTTGACACTATACATTTCTTTTTAGTTATTATTCTAGTTTTAACAACACCAGTTGTACGCGATAATACCAGTTGTACTAACCAAAAAAATCTGAAAACATAATTAAGTTAATAAACCTTCTACTAGTTTTCAACTTTTTGAATCCTGTTTCACTAAACATAAAACAATAAACCTTCTACTAGTTTTAATATAAATCATCTACTAGTTTCACCAAAAATCATCAACTAGTTTCAACAAAAACCAAAACAAACTTGTTTCTTCTACTTCTTTTTTGCAGCCTCTCGTTTCTTGGACAATATGCTTGAACTGGGAATGATTCTCAAACCAGTTCCTCTCTGAGACATCAAGCCTCTTGAAGACTTCCATGAAATTAAAGGTTTCACACCTTGATTGAAGCTTCGGGTATAACAAATACTCGCTTTGCTTGAAGAATAAATCTCGAGGTTCCATTGGTATTGAGACCTCCTCTTGCTGCATTCAAAACACATATGATAAGTGAATAATAGTGTATTGGTACAACTAGTATTCTTGGTTCAACCACAAGCAAAAATCAGTTGTACGCGATAATTTCAGTTGTACTAAACTTCTTCAGATACTGTAGCATACTCAGCCTCAGATCTCTCTGGTTGAGAAGGTGAACCCCTAGTCGACATCCTCCAAAAATTCTGAAACAAAAATCAGAAATTAGTTGGGGTTCAAGGTTGAGGGAAGGAAATCATAAATTAGGGTTCTAATTACTCTTAAGCCTAGAAGATACCTGTTCGGCGGCGACGGAAGTGTGAAACGGCGGTGGTGGCGAGCCTAAAACGGCGGCGGTGGCGAGCCTAAAACAGAAGAGCAAAGAGTGGAGAGTGAGGGGCAGTGAGCGGTGGTGGGGATTTAATCGAAGAGGAAGAAGATGATGGAAGAGGAAGAAGATGATGGAAAAAGATGATGAAATCGAAGAGGAAGAAGATGATGGAGGATGGAAGAAGATGATGGAATTGAAGAGGAAGAAGATTTGGGATCGAGAAATAGAGTTTTAGGGTTTGGTCAATGATTTAATTAAATTTGATGGTTTAAAATAATTAAATCGATTTAGTTTAATAATTTTCAGTTAATTTGGTTATTTAAATTGGATTTGGGTTTAAATCTGGTACTCTACATTGGATATGTAATTATGGTTATTTATTAAAGGTTTTTTTGTTTTTTTATGTTTTTTATATTAAAAAGAAAATAAAAAGAAAAGATGGATATAATGAAAGTATATAAGAATTTGATATAAGAGAAAATAGTATGTGAGGTTAATATCCATTATCCAATTGGAGATGGCGAAAAACACGGTGGCTCACGAGGTATCACCGCTTAGGCTACTCCAAGAGAGCAAAGCCTCCGTGGAAGAAATCGTCGCGAGGATGCTCTCCATCAAAAAGCAAGGAAACCCCAAATCCGAGAACCGAGAGCTCCTCACTCAGATGTTTCTCAACTTCATCAATCTGCGTCAGGTCTCAATACTCGAAACCTTTAGGGTTTTGTTTTTCCCCCTTTTGCGCAGAAACACTAAATTCGTTTTTTTTTTTAATATTCGCAGGCGAATCGTGCGATTCTGATGGAAGAAGAGAATGTGAAAGCAGAGACGGAGTTAGCAAAATCTCCGGTGGATTTCACGGCGTTGCAGCTTCACAATCTGATGTATGAGAAGAGCCATTACGTAAAAGCAACAAAAGCTTCCAGAGAATTCAAATCCAAGTATCCAAACATCGATCTCATATCCGAACAAGACTTCCTCAGAGACGCTCCCGAAGCAATCAAGTCTCAAACTTTATCAAACGATAGTTCCCATGATTTGATGCTTAAAAGACTCAATTTTGAGCTCCATCAGGTAACAATTCCTCTGTATTTTGCTTAAAGTTGTCTACTTTCTTTCCCATATAGATCAAATGTTGAAGCTTTATGCGTCTTTTGAATTCTCAGCGGAAAGAACTTTGCAAGCTTCGATCTAAGTTGGAACAGCACAAGAAGTGTTTGATGGAAACTAACGCAGAACGTAACAACTTTCTGTCAAGTCTTCCTTTGCACCTTAAATCTTTAAAGAAAGCGTCTTTGCCAGTACAGAGCCAATTGAGTTTGCAGGATCCGAAGAAGATAAAGTATCATAATCTAGCTGAGCTTCTTCCTCCACCGCTTTACGTGATATACTCGCAGTTTATGGCACAGAAGGAAGCTTTTGGAGAGAATATCGATCTCGAGGTATCTGGGAGCCTTAAGGATGCTCAAAGTTATGCTCGAGAGCAAGCAGAATGGAACTCGGGAGGTTAGCAATTGTGTGAAACTTTTAGCTTAACAATGAGAAAGTGAGTGGAGTGCGTATTTGATAATAATGACATGAATGTTTAATAATACAGAGAGTACAAGATTGGAGGAGGATGATGATGGAAAAAGGCAAAGGAAGCGACCCAAGAAAGAGGGTTCTAAAGATGCTGGACTATATCAAGTCCATCCTCTCAAAATCGTTCTTCATGTTTATGATGATGAGACTCCAGATCGGAAATCTCATAAACTTGTCGTGCTCAAGTTTGAGTACTTGTTGAAGTTGAATGTTGTATGTGTTGGCACTGAAGAGTCTCATGATGGACCTGAGAAAAATGTCCTATGCAACTTATTTCAAGATGATGCAGGACTTGAGCCTCCTCATCAGGTACATATGCTCTGCATCCATTTGATAACGACTATTTTCTTAAAAGCATTCGTATTCACTTTCTTTTGTTGGCTTCTGTGGTTATTTCAGTCAGCTAAGCTCATTCTTGGCGATGGTCATGCATTTGATGAGAGCAGAACATCGAGGCCATATAAGTGGGCACAACGTTTAGCAGGGATTGAGGTTTTACCTGAAATGTCACTGTTTTTAACCGACAAGAATACTCAAAACAGTGATACAGCATCTGCTTATGATCAGTGCAATGTGCAAACAGTTCTGCGAAGAGTACGGTCTCGGAAAAAGCCTAAGCTAACTCTTGTGTGAGCTAGTGAAAAGTGACCGTTTTTTATTTTTGTAAGCCAGTTAATTTTATTGGTATCCGATTTTGAAGACTTCTATTGTATTTGCCAATACTTCACAAAGTCATTTTGTAATGCGACAACGAGAAGAAACAATCTAAATGATATTCAAAGTTTTGTATGATCTAAGTCTAGTAAAGCTTATCAATGTCAAAGTAAAGAGATTCTGATGATCCTGTGTATATCTTTAGGGAGCTCACAATTCAACTAAGTATGGCCACAACGACTTGATCCACAGCTTTTTCTTTGGGCTTCCTTGAAGATTTCGCCCTCATCTCGATATCCTGTTTGTATAAATTCACACCAACAACAATGACAAGAATAATTGAACCTTAACTTTAAAGAGGGTATAATAAAACATTGGTTTCAGCTGTAAAATATGCAGTGTGGTACCAAACAAATTGCAGTTTAGAGATTGGTAACAGCAGTTTTGGGGTCAAACAGAGTTTAATTCGTGGCTCTATAAAATCATTATACATCCATTACGAGCGGATCTTAAGCCGAAAACATTCCGAACAGAGATGCTTTAATTTCTCTGGTTCGCAGGTAAGTTTTGCCAGTAGGAACTAGGCCAGTCGATTTTTTGCCAGTATGAACTATTTAAGTCGCATAAGCCGTATAAACAAGTCTCATATGGTAGGCAAATTAGTGTAAAATGCGTTAAGAGTTACCTGATGTTTTTGTGCTCGGTGATTACCTGTTGCCTTTGTAAGTCTTCCTTGTCTTCTTTTTAACTTTGCAACTTTAGCTGAGAAATCCGGTTCTCATCCCGAAAACTTCAGGGGAAATTAAAACACAACTGCAATAGATGTAACTTTGACAAAGAAATGAAAGGAACATTGGTATTTTATTGAACGCTTTTTTGTACCATGAGATATATATCACAGAAATGACATTAGAGAGATGCTTTTTGGAGAACGAAGGGCAGATAACAAAAAACACTCTACACAAAAGGATAGTTGTTCTTATGCTCTCTCTCTCACTTCATAAAAGGAATAGAAAGCTTGACATACAATAGCGAACATTTGACATAGAGCCTAAAACAAGAGAAAAAGAAGATGCATGATTTTACGGCATGAGACAACTCCTACTGAGTTTAATTCAGAGACTTGTAAACTAGATAGTGCATCAGATTCAGCAGAGAACATCTGGCATAAAGTCTCCAGACTTACATAAGCAATTAACTAGTACAGCAGATTCTAATGTAATGGCTGTAGCATGTACTGCAGGTCTAATGCATGAAATGTTGTACATAAACAACAGGGCATTTGGTCTAGTGGTATGATTCTCGCTTTGGGTGCGAGAGGTCCCGAGTTCGATTCTCGGAATGCCCCCATTCACTTTTTAAACAGTGTACATTTTTGGTATGTCAACTAACTTTTGTTACTGACAATTCTGTCCTCTGTTGCCAGATTTTCACTGACAATGTTCAACTAACAATTGACCAGTTCCTAGGATTCCACCATCAGTGTATAACAAACGGTCACGGGAACATACCTTTGTTTTCAGGTCAATGATCGAGATTTCCAAACAGATATTAGACAACTCATCACTGCAAAGCGCTATGCTGCCAGATTCTCCAAGAACGAGCTGAAGAAATAAAAAATGGTACATCGCCTAAGTTATTATTCAGCAAAAACAAAAAACAAAAAATATAATGGCCAATTGTATTTCAAGACTAGTTGCTTCAACAGTTTTGCAAGAAGTTCCGAGTTCAATTCTCGGAATGCCCCATTGACTTTTTAAAAGGATATGTTATGATCTTAACTGAAGTTTAAAAGGCCGTGGCTAAGTCAACAAGCAAACATGCCCTACAACTTCTTTAACAGTGATAATAAGCTTCTTTTAAAGCAAACATGGCTTTAATTCGTTATGCCTGATAATTCAAATTTACAGCAAAAAAATACAACAGAAAAGAGACAATCAAATTTCAAGACGGTTGCTTTAACAGAGTTACAACAACATTTTGGGTTTGGTCTACTTGTATGACACAAAACCTTGAATCCTTTAGAACAAAATAATAATGATCAGAATGTCTCACATCCAAAGGCGGTAAACTTGCCATTATACAGTCAGATCTCAGAAATAGGACATAGTTACGAATTTGAAGATTGATTATTTGTTAAAAGTCAACTACGAAAACAAGATCCACAAATGCATCCTTGTCATTAAATCCGCTGCCTTGGATCACTATCACAAGTCAACTAAGGGAACTAGATCTGACATTGACTACAAAAGTTTTTCTTTAGCTTTATTAACTAAATTTCTCAACAGATGGGCATTTGGTCTAGTGGTATGATTCTCGCTTAGGGTGCGAGAGGTCCCGAGTTCAATTCTCGGAATGCCCCATTCTTTTTAAATCCCAGGGGCATAGAAGAGTCAAGATCATACATCTCAGGATATCCTTAATGTCATATCAGAACGTGGAGAGCATATCAAGACATCCTATGGTCAATAGTTTAGCTATTTTAACAAGGAGAAAAAAATTTCAGACAAAAGACATGAAAGAAGCCTTTAAAAATTGACTACATGATCAAAGTAACTAATAAAACAAGATGCAAAATGTATCAATATCATGAGATCCACTAGCTTAGGTTCATCGAACAAACAGCTACATCCCCCCAACCAAATCAATCCAAAAATGATTCTAGTTCCGTCAATTGCACCAGTGGCATTTTGGAAAGAATGTGCTTTGTACTAAGTTATATTATATGTCCCTCCGTGCCTGATTGCTCACAGAACACGGTCAAGATTTGATTAGCATGCAGTTTTCTCAAAGGAGTAGATTAGACACGATGTCTTGTCTACACCAAAGGAAATCAGATAGTGAATACCAAAAATGTTATATTCAAGATATTCTTGCAAGTAAAATTTCACCATAAACTAGGCATGAATAGGCTTAAACCATGACACATCAACAACAGGGCATTTGGTCTAGTGGTATGATTTTCGCTTTGGGTGCGAGAGGTCCCGAGTTCAATTCTCGGAATGCCCCACTGACTTTTTTCAAAACTATAAGATCTAAATGCCAGCGCAAGATTCTTGCATACATATCTGTCATCGGTGCCTGATCTGACATAGATCACGTTCAGCATTTCAACTATGTGTAATTTAGGTAAAAGTTCACCAAAAATATTGGTACCTGTCAATATCTAAGAACTTGGTATAGCCGTGTGACCAAGGCTAACGGTAAGATAGATATAATCCCATTGAACAGTGATTGATATAAACCTAACTGAAACATGTTTTCAAATGACAGGACTATCCTCTTCTAATGATTTTCGAAAGCGGTTTAAACATTATATTTTATTATTTCCATCAGCAGTACATTTCAAACCAGAAACCAATGTCTTAATAAAAATACAAGTAATCAGATCACAAAATGTTAGGTTGAAAGATAGAATAACAGAAACGAACTAGGAACTTAGGTGTACTTCTGTAATATCAAGTTGATTAATAATGATAAAAGAACTTCCTATACAGACTCAATAATATTTATAACAAGTCAACTAAGAGAACCAAAACACAATATGATCAAACATGGTGATCTTCAATGTTTCAACTAAATTGCTTAGCAACAGGGCATTTGGTCTAGTGGTATGATTCTCGCTTTGGGTGCGAGAGGTCCCGAGTTCGATTCTCGAAATGCCCCATCAACTTTTTTCAGAACCATAACGTTTTGAATTCCAGCTCAGAATTCTTGCATTTAAATATGTAATTGGTGTCTGATAACATTCAGCATTTCAACTATGTGTATCTACTTAAAGTATTGGCGTAATCTAGGCTATCTATCTGTCAATAACCAAGAACTTGGTATAGCCGTATGGTACGTTAAGCTAAAACAAATCATAATGAATTGAGCTCCTGGACGGTTTTCAAATGATTGATGGAAAGCTAAATTGAAAATTTCAGAGCGAAAGGACTATCCTCTCCTAATGGTTTTTCGTGGAAGAGGTTAGAACAACTGATAAAATCATAGAACCGATGGGAGCTAAGAATGAGGAACAAGTCGAGGTTCAGCCCGGAATATAAGACCAAGTGGCCGAACTAAACGAAGACGAGGTTCAGGACGGGGTACAAGACCGAGGAGCCGACCAGAACGAAGTCTTGGCTATGCCAACTGGACCGATGACCAGGTCGCGTACCAAGAAGCTCACGGGAGTAATCCAACGAGTTCTTACCGAGCTAAGGACTCAAGGCCGAGCTGACGATCTAACACCCATTCACAAAGTCATAACCGTGCTCATGTATTCTGGTCCGAACTGACCTGGTTGGGGTGTTGTGTTAATACTCTTTTTCCTTACATTCGGTTTTGTCCCATTGGGTTTGTTTTAACGAGGTTAATGAACGCCCATCTCACGACCATGGTTAGATTCGCGGCCAAGTATAGCGGTCAAGGAGCTCAAAGGTCTAGCGAGAGGACGCGAAGGGTCATCCGGAAATCCAATCGTTATTCAACGCATCTTTAGATTCATTTATTTTCATTTAATGTCCTTTAATTCTCTATGTATGACCGATGGTCTCCTTTTTTGCCTCTATATAAAGGCACTCATGTAATCGGAACCATATCACTTATCTTTTATAAAAATTTCTCTTTGAGTTTTCTCTTTTGTTCTTCAAGAACTTTGTCGATATTTTTGTGGTTAGCCATTGATCGATTCTCGGTTTATTTTCACCCTGCTTGACGCAGCCTTCGATTCCAAAGTGTGAGAGAGAGTTGTAGTCGTATTTGGGGCTTAGGGAATTTCGGGACTTGTCTCACACCCTAACATCCGGTATCGCAACCCCCTTGATCGTTTTGTTCATCCCCTCGTTTCCAACCTCTTCTTTGGAATTGGGCCTAAGAATTTTCGAGCTCCCGCTCACGCCTTAGCATCTCTTTCACCAAACCGGACTGGATCCAAGGATCTATCAACCTCCACTGAGCCAAGTGTGTGACAATTCTAGGACGGTCTTCTATCAAGTGGTATCAGAGCCACGCACTTGTGATTTCGGTACTATCTTTCTTTTATTCTAGAATTCAATCTTTTTTCATCTTTTCTTTTGTAAATCGTTAAAAAAAAAAGAAAAAGAAGTTCAAAGGTCAAAAAAAACAAAAAAAAAGAAGTCCAAAAGTTTAAAAAAAAAAAAAAACGATCTGAATTCTTTTCTTCCTATCTATCCTTCTTATCTCTTAAACGTCCAACTTGCTTGATTCACAGATTCGATAGAAGCTTAAGTCGATTTGTCGATTTAGTTTGCTTAGAACCGGAGAGAAACTCTAGTGTGTTGTGAGGTCATTAAGAGAGTGAGTGAACAAAGAGAGAAACACTTGTGAGGAATTTGATTACTAACGTGTTTGTTCAATTTTGCGAGGTACTTGTATGTCATCTGATTTCTCTTTGGACGACTGTGAGTTCTACACGTTCCGAGACGGTAATCACGTACGCTGGATCACCCCTAAGGAGATGGAGGCTAAGCTTAATCAAATCACCGAGATGATGGAGCGCATGAGCCAACGTATGGACCGGCTTGAAGGTCAGCCGAGGCCAGCGGAATTAAACGATCAAAACCGTGAGGAACCTATGCACATCCGCCGAGATCGGAACCAGGAACCTGAGGTCGACAACCCTTTCTATGAAGACAACCATTCCTCTGGTAGTAGCCGAGTGAGACCGCGAGGCAACCGAATGTTCCGTGGCCGAGCTGGAGGAATCCGAGACCGAGGACACGCCATGCCCGCGAGAAACCTAAACGACCGATTTGAGGGAGGATGGCCACAGCAGCGATATGAAGCCGAACCGGCTAGAGGCCGAAACGACAACGACCTCGGAGGAATGAAGCTCTGGATTCCAGCGTTCTACGGCAAGAGCGACCCGGACGCGTTCCTGGAATGGGAAAAGAAGGTTGACATCATCTTTGGATGTCAAGATCTTCCAGAGAGGAAGAAGATAAACCTAGCTGCATCAGAGTTCAACGGCTACGCGATCGATTGGTGGGATCAGATTGTGATCAGTAGAAGAAGAAATGGAGAACAGCCCGTTGAAACATGGGAAGAAATGGCCACCTTGATGAGGCAACGGTTTGTGCCCGCGCATTATCAACGCGAGCTACACACCAAACTCAGACGTCTTACTCAAGGAACCAAGTCTGTGGAAGACTATCACCAGGAGATGGAGAGGCTTATGATCAAAGCCGATGTCTTTGAACCTGAGGATGCAACGATGGCGAGATTCTTGAGCGGTCTAAACCGAGACCTTCAAGACCGGATGGAAGTTCAGGAGTACCAGGATATGTACGAGATGCTACATAAAGCGATCCTCTTGGAACAACAACTCCGACGCAAATGAACAAATCGGTTCACTGCCGGATCTAGCTCGCGACCGACCTACCGAGACGACAAGGCGGTCTATCCTACGCGGCCGAAGTCCGAAGTCAAGCCCAGTCCAAGCACCGACCTCAAAGGCAAAACTGAGGTAACTTCAGCCCGGACTCGCGATATAGAATGCTTCAAGTGCAGAGGCAAGGGTCACTATGCAAATAAGTGTCCGAACCAGAGAGCCATGATTCTTCTAGACACCGGTGAGGTCGTCTCCGAGGCAGAAAGTGAAGCCGAGCCAAAATATGACGAAGAGCCAGAGGAGGAGTATGCGGCTGGAGGAGAGCTACTGGTAGCACGGCGAGTGCTAGTGTCCCAAGAGCCGGTCCGAGAAGAGGATCAAAGGGAAAATCTTTTCCACACACGATGTATAGTCATGGGGAGGACCTGCAGCATGGTCATAGATGGAGGAAGTTGCACGAATGTAGCAAGCCAGAGTATGGTGGAGAAGCTCGGGATGCAAACCATCAAACATCCGCATCCGTACAACCTCAGATGGCTTAACAACCAAAGGCAACTCAAGGTCACCAAGCAAGTCACCGTACCATTCAAGATTGGGCGATATGAAGACGAGGTGTTATGCGATGTTCTACCCATGGAGGCCGGACACATCCTGTTAGGACGGCTGTGGCAGTTCGACCGGAAAGCAGTTCACGACGGGTACACCAACAAACATTCGTTTGAACACCAAGGACGGAAGGTCGTGCTGGCGCCTCTATCCCCACATGAGATTTACCTGGATCAAATCCAACTGGAAAGAAGCAACAAAGGCAAAGCTACCATGAGCGACCCCTTAAACACCTCCACTAAAAATGAGAGTGAAACACTGAGTGAGCCACCACAAAAAGCCTTAAACACTCAACCCGTGAGAAGAGAGACCCTTTTTGTAAGGCCAAGAGAGATTAAACAAGCTGTGTTTGAGAAGCAACCTTTCATTTTGCTAATGTTCAAATCCGCTTTGGCTAGCACGTCTGACTCTGAGCCGGAACTTCCGAGCAGGATTTCTTGGGTTTTGCAGGACTATGCGGACGTATTTCCCGAAGACAATCCAGGCGGTCTACCACCGATCCGAGGTATTGAACACCAGATTGACCTCGTCCCTGGAGCGTCCTTACCTAACCGACCTGTGTACCGCACCAATCCGACTGAGACCAAGGAACTCCAACGTCAGGTCGACGAGCTGGTGGCCAAGGGCTACATCCGCAAGAGCCTAAGTCCTTGTGCCGTGCCCGTGCTCTTAGTGCCAAAGAAGGATGGAACCTGGCGAATGTGTGTTGATTGCCGAGCTATCAACAACATCACGGTAAAGTATCGCCACCCAATCCCACGTCTTAATGACATGCTAACTATATGGGTCTAGTGTGTTTACGAAGATAGATTTAAAAAGTGGTTACCATCATATCCGAATGAAGGAAGGAGATGAATGGAAGACCGCGTTCAAAACCAAGCATGGTTTATATGAATGGTTGGTCATGCCATTCGGCCTAACAAACGCACCTAGTACCTTTATGCGGTTAATGAATCATGTGCTTAGGTCGTTTATAGGCGTCTTTGTAGTGGTCTACTTCGATGACATTCTGATATACAGTAAGAGTCTAGAGGAGCATGTGAATCATTTGAAACAAGTGTTAGAAGTCCTTAGGAAAGAACGTTTATTTGGAAACTTTAAGAAATGTTCTTTTTGTACGGATAACGTGGTGTTCTAGGCTTTGTTGTCAGTTCACAGGGAATACAGGTGGATGAGGAGAAGATCAAAGCCATCCGAGACTGGCCGAGCCCCAAGACAGTTGGAGAAGTTCGTAGCTTCCACGGTCTGGCCGGGTTCTATCGACGGTTCGTCCGAGACTTCAGCACGATCGCAGCCCCTCTCACCGAGGTCATCAAGAAGGACGTTGGATTCAAATGGGGACGAGCTCAGGAGGAAGCGTTCAAGACCCTCAAGCATCGGCTTACACACGCACCCTTACTCTCCCTGCCCGATTTTCTCAAGACCTTCGAGATCGAGTGTGATGCATCCGGAGTAGGTATTGGAGCCGTGCTCATGCAGGAGAAGCGACCTATCGCTTACTTTAGCAAAAAACTTGGAGGAGCAATGCTTAACTACCCGACCTACGACAAGGAGCTCTATGCTTTGGTCCGAGCTCTCCAGACTTGGCAACACTACCTGTGGCCCAAGGAGTTCGTCCCATACCGATCACCAGTCCTTAAAGCATTTCAAAGGACAACAGAAGCTGAACAAGCGACATGCGAGATGGGTCGAGTTCATCAAGACCTTCCCTTATCTGATTCAGTACAAACAAGGAAAAGAGAATGTTGTGGCTGACGCGCTATCCCGACGATATGCCATGATCTCGACGCTTGATGCCAAGATACTTGGATTTGAGATGATCAAAGAAGCCTACGCAACCGACCTGGAATTCCAAGAAGCTTATCGCGCCAGTTCTAAGTTTGCCTATGGCAAATATTATCAAAGTGATGGGTACTTGTTTTATGAGCATAAGCTGTGTATACCTAACACTTCTATGCGTGATTTGATTGTCAGGGAGGCACACGGAGGAGGCTTGATGGGGCATTTTGGAGTTCTTAAAACGCTAAGTGTGGTCCAAGACCATTTTTACTGGCCGCACCTCAGGAAGGACGTGGAGAGAATATGCCAAAGGTGCACGGTTTGCAAACTAGCCAAAGGTCGCAGCCAGGGCGCAGGAATGTATACTCCCTTACCCATTCCCACCGAGCCGTGGACAGACATCTCCATGGACTTTGTCCTCGGGTTACCTAGGACCCGCCGAGGTAAGGACTCGATCTTCGTCATAGTAGATAGGTTCTCTAAGATGGCACACTTTGTTCCATGCCACAAAACCGATGATGCTTCCAACATACCGATCTGTTTTTTAAGGAAATTGTTCGTTTACATGGAGTTCCTAGAACCATAGTGTCAGATCGGGATACTATGTTTCTTAGCTACTTTTGGAAAACGTTGTGGGCTAAGTTAGGAACCAAACTGTGTTTTTCCACAACTTGTCACCCTCAGACCGACGGTCAAACCGAAGTGGTCAATAGGACCTTGTCAGCTCTTTTGAGATCGGTCATTAAAAAGAACCTTAGGACTTGGGAGGAATGTTTGCCTCATGTTGAGTTCGCTTATAACCGAGCTGTTCATTCTACCACTTTGTTTTCACCATTTCAGTTAGTTTATGGTTTTAATCCTCTTACACCTTTGGATCTAACCCCTTTACCAATGACTGAGCGTGAGAACATGGACGGGAAAAAGAAAGCCGATCGGGTGAAGAAGATGCATGAAAAGGCAAGCCAAAACATCGAAAGAAATACGGAGCAATTCCAGAAGTACGCCAATAAAGGAAAGACCAAAAAGATGTTCGAGCCCGGAGACCAAGTGTGGATCTACCTAAGGAAAGAGAGGTTTCCGGAAAAAAGGAAGTCTAAGTTAAAGCCAAGAGTGGACGGACCATTCACTATCCTAGAGCGGATCAACGACAACTCCTACAAGATCGATCTCCGAGGTAAGTACTCAGTCAGTTCAAGTTTCAACATTGCTGATATCATTCCTTTTCACGCAGATGAAGCCGACTTGAGGACAAGTCCTTTTCAAGAGGGGGAGGATGATAGAATCATGGAACCGATGGGAGCTAAGGATGAGGAACAAGTCGAGGTTCAGCCTGGAACACAAGACCAAGTGGCCGAGCTAAACAAAGACGAGGTTCAGGACGGGGTACAAGACCGAGGAGCCGACCAGAACGAAGTCCTGGCCATGCCAACTGGACCGATGACCAGGTCGCGTACCAAGAAGCTCACGGGAGCAATCCAACGAGTTCTTACCGAGCTAAGGACTCAAGGCCGAGCTGACGATCTAACACCCGTTCACAAAGTCATAACCGTGCTCATGTATTCTGGTCCGAACTGACCTGGTTGGGGTGTTGTGTTAATACTCTTTTTCCTTACATTCGGTTTTGTCCCAGTAGGTTTTCCGAATGGGGTTTTAACGAGGTTAATGCACGCCCATCTCACAACCATGGTTCGATTCGCGGCCAAGTATAACGGTCAAGGAGCTCAAAGGTCTAGCGAGAGGACGCGAAGGGTCATCCAGAAATCCAATCGTTATTCAACGCATCTTTAGATTCATTTATTTTCATTTAATGTCCTTTAATTCTCTATGTATGACCGATGGTCTCCTTTTTCGCCTCTATATAAAGGCACTCATGTAATCGGAACCATATCACTTATCTTTTATAAAAATTTCTCTTTGAGTTTTCTCTTTTGTTCTTCAAAAACTTTGTCGATATTTTAGTGGTTAGCCATTGATCGATTCTCGGTTTATCAAGTAGTTTCACCCTGCTTGACGCAGCCTTCGATTCTAAAGTGTGAGAGAGAGTTGTAGTCGTATTTGGGGCTTAGGGAATTTCGGGACTTGTCTCACACCCTAACATCCGGTATCGCAACCCCCTTGATCGTTTTGTCCATCCCCTCGTTTCCAACCACTTCTTTGGAATTAGGCCTAAGAATTTTCGAGCTCCCGCTCACGCCTTAGCATCTCTTTCACCGAACCGGACTGAATCCAATGATCTATCAACCTCCACCGAACAAAGTGTGTGACAATTCTAGGACGGTCTTCTATCAACAACTAAAGCAATATATTTCTGGTGTATTTCCATCCAGAGTACCCTGCAAACAGAATTCTACTTCTTAAGGAAATGCAAGTGATCAGATCATTGGAATTTTAGTCGAAAGAATAGAATAGATCATTGGAACTCAAGTGTATTTTTGTAAGATTTATAACGGAGATGTTAAAAATAGAAAAAGCAAACAAAATGAAAAGATCTAGGAACATCCTATTCAGCCTAAAATATTAAGTAAAAGTCAACTATGAGCACGAGACCACAATATGACCAAATATGGTGATCTTCAACGTATTAACTAAATTGCTAAGCAACAGGGCATTTGGTCTAGTGGTATGATTCTCGCTTTGGGTGCGAGAGGTCCCGAGTTCGATTCTCGGAATGCCCCCATTCTCTTTTTAAAGATAGTATGTTTGTTAATGTCAACTAAATTTTGTTACTGACAATTCTGCCATGTTCAACTAACAGTTGACCAGTTCCTAATATTTCACCAACAGTATATAACAAACGGTCACGGTAACATACCTTTGCTTTAAGGTCAATGATGTAGATTTCCAAACAGTATAATATCAGACAACTCACCACTACAAAGTGCTATGCTGCCAGATTATCCAAGAACGAGCTGAAGGAAATGAAAAAAAAAATTATTTACAATTCAGCGAAAAACAAAATAAAGATAATGGGCAATTGCCTCAAAACTAGTTGCTTCAAACAGTTCTGCATTTGGTATAGTAGTGCAAGAAGTTCCGAGGTCAACTCTCGGAATGCCCCATTGACTCTTTAAAAGTAAATTTTATGACCATAACTGAAATTAATTATGTGAAAAAACTGTTCTATGGCACTTAAGTATGAAAGACCATGCTAAACTCAACAAGCAAACATACCCCAAAACTTCTTTAAAAGTGATAATAAACTTCTTTTAAAACGAACATGGCTCTAATCCTATTTCTTTATGCCTGATTATTCAAATTTACAACAACTAGTGTTTGACATAACTTTTAGATTTAACCAGATCCTTAGTAAGAGCTACTACAATTCAATAGACGCAGAACCTTGAACCCTTTAGAACAAAATTTCAATGACCAGAATGTTTAACTTCCCAAACATCCAAAGGCGGTAACCTTGGCATGTTACATTAAGATCTCAGACATAAAACATTAGTTACGACCTTCAAGATTGATTATTTTTTAAAAGTCAACTATGAAAACAAGATACAAATTGCATACTTGTCATTAGATCCGCTGCCTTGGATTACTACCACTAAGTCAACTAATGGAACTAGATCTGACATTGACTTCGCAAGTTTTTCTTTAGTTTTTCTATACTTAATTTCTCAACAGAAGGGCATTTGGTCTAGTGGTATGATTCTCGCTTAGGGTGCAAGAGGTCCCGAGTTGAATTCTCGGAATGCCGCATTCTTTTTTTAATCTCAGGGGCATTCAAGAGACCTATAACGTCACACATCTCAGTAATACAGAATGTGAGAGCATGTCAGGACTTCTTGATAAGCAAGACCAAGACGACATCCTTATTGTCAGTAGTTTAGGCATTTTAGAAAGGGCAAAACAGGTTTTCAGACATAAGACATAAAATAAGACATTCAAGACTGACTACAAGATCAAAGTAACTGATGGAACAACTAGCTTAGGTTCATAGAGCCAAACAGCCACATCTCCCAACCAAATCAATCCTAAAATGATTATAGTTTCGTCAGTTGCAACGGTGGCATTTTCAAAAGAATATGCTCTGTCTTGAGTAAGGTAATATATATGTCCTTCAGTGCCTGATTTCTCATAGATCATGGTCAAGAAATGATTAACATGCAGTTCTCTTAAAGGAATAGATTAGACAAAATGCCCTGTTTGAACCAAAGGAAATCAGATGGTGTGGGCAAAATAATTGCAAGTATATTTCATTATAAACCAAACGCTCTCACACATCATTTTACGGCTTGAATAGGCTTCAACAATTACATCAACAACAGGGCATTTGGTCTAGTGGTATGATTCTCGCTTTGGGTGCGAGAGGTCCCGAGTTCGATTCTCGGAATGCCCCCTTTCACTTTTTAGACAGTATATGTTTGGTATGTCAACTAAATTTTGTTAATGACCATGTTCAACTAACAGTTGACCAGTTCTTAGAATTTTACAATCAGTATATTACAAACGGTCACGGAAACATACCTTTCTTTTCAGGTCATTGATCGAGATTTCCAAATAGGTAATATCAGACAACTCACCACTGCAAAGCGCCATGCTGCTAGATTCTCCAAGAACTAGGTGCAGGAAAAAAGGTACATTGCCTAAGTTATTTACAGCTCAGCAAAAACAAAAACAAAAAAGATAATTGGCAGTTGTATTTGAAGACTAGTTTCTTCAACAGTCCTGCATTTGGTCTAGTGGTGCAAGAAGTTATGATCCTAACTGAAATTACTTCTGTGAAAAAGCTGTTCTTTGACCACGTTGAAAGACCATGCCTATGTGGCTAAGTCAACAAGCAAACATGCCCTAAATTTTTTTTTAAAAGTGATAATAAACTTCTTGAAAAGTTAACATGTCTTTAATTCGTTATGCCTGTTAATTCAAATTTACATCAAGATGATTCAGACTTACAGAAAAAAATTACAAAAGAAAAAAGCAAACAATTTTCAAGACGGTTGCTTTGACAGTGTTACATCAACAAACTGGCTTTGGTCTAGTTGTATGATCTCGCTTTGAGTGCAAGAGAACCTGACTTATGCCATAAACAAGTGTTTGATTATAGGACAAAGAATACATAACTTTTAGCTTTAATCAAATCCTGAGTAAGAGCTACTACAATTCAATAGATGCAGAACCTTGAACCCTTTAGAGCAAAATTTTAATGATCAGAATGTTTAACTTCCCAAACATCCAAAGGCTGTAACATTGGCATGTTATATTCGGATCTCAGACATTAGACATTAGTTTCGACTTTCAAGATTGATTATTTGTTAAAAGTCAACTACGAAAACAAGATATAGATTGCATCCTTGTCATTAGATCCGCTACCTTGGATTACTATCACTAAGTCAACTAAGGGAACCAGATCAGACATTGACTTCACAAGTTTTGCTTTACATTTTTTAACTATATTTCTCAACAGAAGGGCATTTGGTCTAGTGGTATGATTCTCGCTTAGGGTGCGAGAGGTCCCGAGTTCAATTCTCGGAATGCCCCAATCGTTTTTTGAATCTCAGGGGCATTCAAGAGACCGACAACATCACACATCTCAGCAATACAGAATGTGGACAGCATCTCAGGACTTTTTTGATAAGCAACATCAAGATGACATCCATATGGTCAACAAAATTAGACATTTAACGAGGGCAAAACAAGTTTTCAGACATAAGACATAAAATAAGACTTGTAAGATTGACTACATGATCAAAAAATCTGATGGAACAACTATTTTACGTTCATAGAGCCAAACAGCTACATCTCCCCAAGCAAATCAATCCTAAAATGATTCTAGTTCCGTCAATTGCACTGGTGGCATTTTCAAATGAATGTGCAATGCCTTGAGCACGGTGAGATATATGTCCTTCAGTGCCTGATTTCTCACAGATCATGGACAGGAAATGATTAACATTCAGTTCTCTTAAAGGAATAGATTAGACACAATGCCCTGTTTGAACCAAAGGAAATAAGATGGTGTGGGAAAACAATTTACATAAAGCAAAGGCTAAAATATATATGAAGTCAACTAAGAGAACTAAATAATAATATGACCAAATATGAACAATCTTCAACGTTTTAACTAAATTGCTTAGCAACAGGGCATTTGGTCTAGTGGTATGATTCTCGCTTTGGGTGCGAGAGGTCCCGAGTTCGATTCTCGGAATGCCCCCATTGACTTGTTGTTATGTAAGATGGTATTAATTCCAGCAACTATTTCTTAGAATATCAGATCTTCAATATTCCTAGATTTATCATAGATCTTGACATCTTGTTCGAACTGAGGAGCATATACCAATTCATTTCAGCAACGGAAATATAAAAAAACAGAGACCACCGTAAAGTTTCATTATTAAGTGCTTAATGCAGTGGAATAGAAGAGCATACTGCCGTTTCATGTCCAGTAGATAAATCCTTCTAATTAGTAAATTTCATATAGGGAATGAGTTGCAGAAATAGAAAAGGAATTGTGAATGAGTATCCAACCTAACAGCAAAAGGAAGCAAAAGATCTCTAAACTAAAAGAGAGAATGATAATAGAAGACATTAACTGAAAAGCAAAGAAAAAAAGCTTGTTGTAAAATCTTGCTGAAAGTACTTATAATTATGAATCTACCCTTCGGTGTTTTTCATTTTAGTGTTTATATTAACCAAAGCAAGTATTTTACGTTAATTTCAGCATGAAAATAAAACCTTGTTTCGTCAAAGACTTTCAGTATGAAGTATTGGAGGGCAAGCAAAAGAATAAGTTCCAAGTTCCAATTAACTGTAGATTAGAGACGCCACTAGTTTTTGTTAAACATTTAACAAATGAGGACCAGATCCGTACCATTTTAACTCAAAGGTATCCTGACCAGCACTTGGGATTCTTGTCCTGAACCCGACCCAACCAAAGTAACTGGTATAAGACCAAAGTTTGGCTTTCACATCCATTGACATTGATCTCTTCAACCAGGAAAAACACCTCCCTTCTGCACATTCAATCAGAAAACATGAGACCGTACTTAAACTAGCTTTATGCCACACAATTCTCCAAAATTGAAACATATAAATTGGGAAAGAACCACAGGCAAACTTTAATGAAAAACAAAGAAAAAACATTTGCAGGAATTCGAGAATCAAGGACAAACAGAGTAGCAGACTTAATCCTGTTTATGATGTACAAAAACACATGCATTTATTGTGGTGGTACAATTTTTCCTCTGATTACAATAGCTACTGCCTACCAGGGCATTTCCATTGTATTTGTTCAGAAAGAAGAACTACAAACCAAGAACTATTCTTTACAAAAACGGTAAGGAAACAACGAGAATGCTTTAACTGAAAACCAACAATAGCCGGGCATTTGATCTAGTGGTATATTCTCGCTTTGGGTGCGAGTTCTGTTCTAGAAATGCCCCAGTGACTTTTTTTCGAAACCATATATTGTAAATTGCAACTCAGAATTCTTGCATAAATTTGTTTGGTGCCTGATTTATCACAGATCACATTCAGCTTTCAACTATGCGGATCTACCTACAACGTTACCAATTTTACCTGATGTATTGTCAAGGGTACTAGTTAAGGACCAAGAATTTGGTATAGTATTATGATCAGTTCAAATGTTAAGACTATCATGGTATCAATGAATCGAACTACGGGAGGCAAAATGATTGATGTACAAAATTCCAATTGAAAAATGTAGGACTATCCTCATTTAATGATTTTCACAGAAGACGTTTGACCTACTGGATCAAATTATTTCTGTCGTACTTCCATCCCTAGAGTAACTTGCAAAACCAGAAATCCACTTTCTAAAGATTATATCACTGAACTGAGTTGAAAGAGATCTCATAGGATATAGATCCAGGAACATCCTATTCAGACTAAAATATTTGATAAAAGTCAACAAAGAGCATAAGACCAAGTTTGTTTAAACTAAATTGATTAGCAACATGGCATTTGGCCTAGTGGTATGATTCTCGCTTGGGCTGCGAGAGGTCCCGAGTTCAATTCTCGGAATGCCCCATTCTTTTTAAATATCAGGGGCATATAAGAGACCTTCAACATCAAACATCTCAGAATATCATTATGGTCATATCAGATTGTGGCGAGCATCTCAAGACATCCTTATGGTCAATCGTTAGGCAAGGATAAAACAAATTTTCAGACATAAGACATGAAATAAGACTTTCAAGATTGATTACATGATCCATGAAAATGATAGAACAAGATGCAAAGTGTATACTTAACATCATATCCACTAGCTTAAGTTCGTCACACTAACAGCAATATCTCCCCAACCATTTTCTAAAAGAATGTGCTCTGTTTTAAGCTATATTATATATGTCCCTCAGTGCCTGATTTCTTACAGATCACAGTCAATGATTGATTAGCATGCAGTTTTCTCAGTGGAGTAGATTAGACACAATGTTCAGTCTGAACCAAAGGAAATCAGATAGTGAATACCAAATAGGATATACTCTAGTCTTGCAAGTAAATTTCCATCATAAACTGGAATAGATAGGCTTGAACCATGACACATCAACAACAGGGCATTTGGTCTAGTGGTATGATTCTCGCTTTGGGTGCGAGAGGTCCCGAGTTCGATTCTCGGAATGCCCCTATTCATTTTTGTTCGAAACTATAAGTTCTAAATGCCAGCTCAGGCTTCTTGTATACAAATCTGTAATTGGTGCCTGATCTGTCGTATATCATCCTCACATTCAGTATTTCAACTGTGTGTAACTATCTAGCTAAAACTTCGCCAAAGTAATTGGTATCTGTCAATATCAAAGAACGTGTGATCAAGTCTAACGCTAAGATAGATATATAATCTTATTCAACAGATCTACTGGAGGGTTTTCCGGTGATTGATAAAAAACTAATTGAACCATGTAGGATGACAAGACTTAACTGTATTTTTTATAAGATCAAAAGTTGATTAATGATAAAGAAACATCCTATAAAGACTATAAACAATTTATTAGAAGTCAACTAAGAGAACCAAAACACAATATGACCAAACATGGTGATCTTCAATGCTAGTACTAAATTGCTTAGCAACAGGGCATTTGGTCTAGTGGTATGATTCTCGCTTTGGGTGCGAGAGGTCCCGAGTTCGATTCTCGGAATGCCCCATTGACTTTTTGTTATGTAGATAGTATTAATTCTACCAATTATTTCTTATAAAATCAGATCTTCAATATCCCTAGATCTATTATCGATCTTGACATCTTGTTCCAACTGAGGAGCATGTTTACCCTTAAATTTCAGTAAGAGAAAATAAAAACCAGAAACCACCGTAAAGTTATTATTAAGTGCTTAATGCAATGGAAAAGAAGAGCATACAGCTGTTTCATGTCCTTTTTAATTAGTCAATTTCATATAGGGAAGATCATCATGTTTTCTAAGCTGCCAGATTCACAGAGAATGAGTTGCAGAAACAGAAAATGAATTGTGAATAAGTATCTAACCGAGCAGCAAAAGGAAGCAAAAGATCTCTAAACAGAAGGAGAGAATGCTAACAGAAAGCATTTACTGAGCAACACAGAGAAAAAAAAACAGGGCATTTGGTCTAGTGGTATGATTCTAAAATCTTACTGAAAGTAGTTGTAATTATAAAATGCCCTTTGGGGTTTGTCATTTTAGTGTTCATATTATCAAACCAAGTAGTTTACGTTAATTTGAGCATGAAACAAAACCATGTTCCGTCGAAGACTGTCAGTATGAAATGTTGAAAGGCAAGCAAAAGAATAAGTTCCAACTGTAACATACCTTTGCTCATGTCAGACGATGTCTCTGTAAGTAATCAATAAGCTTCAGCAACTGACCAATTAATGCCTTCCCTTCCATCTCAGCAGGAGTAGATTAGAGACATTCACTAGTTTCTTTTAAACATTTTAACAAACAAATGACCAGATCCTTACCATTTTAACTGACAGGTATCCTGACTTTAGCTCTTGGAATTCTTGTGCTGAACCCAAACCAACCAAACGAACTGGTATACCACTAATGTGTGGCTTTCACATCCACTGGCTTTGATCTCTTCAACCAGAAAACACCTCCCGTCTGCACATCCAATCAGAAAACATGAGACATAACTCAAACTTGCTTTGTGTCACACGATTCTCCAAAATCGAACCACAGGAATTGGGAAAGTATCAAATGCAAAACAAAAAGAAAAAAAAAACATTGCAGGAATTTGAGAATCAAGAACAGACTGAGTAGCAAACTGAAATCTGTTAGCGTTCTACAAAAGCACATGCATTTATTGTGGTGGTACAATTTTGCATCCTCTGATTGCAACAGCTACCTACCCAGCTTCTCAAAGTCTGGTAAAATTTCTTTTCGATCTACACTCTAAAAGGAAACTGAAACTGTAGGATACAAAATTGGAATTATATCTGCCTGAATTCTGGTGCAAAAACAAAAAAAAAAAAAAAAAAAATCTGCCTGAATTCAATGACAGTACAAGACCAAATATGTTTAAATTAAATTGCTTAGCAACAGGGCATTTGGTCTAGTGGTATGATTCTCGCTTTGGGTGCGAGAGGTCCGATTCTCGGAATGCCCCTTTGACTTTTTAAACTAGTGTATGTTTAGTATGTCAACTAGATTTTGTTATTGACATTCTGTCATCTGGTGCCAGCTTTTCAATGACCATGTTCTATTCAATAGGCGACCAGTTCCTAGAATTTTACCTTTTGTATATTACAATCGATCAAAGCAGCATACCTTTGCTTACACGTCATATTATAGAGATTTCCAACCAGATAAATATCAGTTAACTCAACACTGAAAAGTGCTATGCTGCCAGATTCTCCAAGAACGAGCTGCAGGAAATGATTAAAGGATAATGCCCAAGTTTACAAAGTTCAGAAAGAAAAAAAAAAACAAAAGATGATGGTAACAGAATTTCAAAACGGATACTTCCAGTAAATTACAGCAATACTCAAGCATCACAAAACCTTGGTACATTCAGATCTCAAGCGACCTTGAAGATTGATTATTTGTTAGAGGTCAAGTATGAAAACAAGATCCAAATTGCATCTGTGTCATCAGATTTTCTGGCTTGGATTACTATCACAAAGACAACTAAGGGTATTAAATCTGACATTGACTTCACAAGTTTCTCGTTTAGCATTCTTAACTAAGTTTCTCAACAGAAGGGCATTTGGTCTAGTGGTATGATTCTCGCTTAGGGTGCGAGAGGTCCCGAGTTCAATTCTCGGAATGCCCCATTTCTTTTTAAATCTCAGGGGCATATAAGAAGAGACCTTCAACACCATACATCTCAGGATATCCTTTAGGTTATATCAAAATGTGGGGGGCATATAAGGACATCTTATGGTCAATAGTTTAGCTATTTTAACAAGGAGAAAAAAAAAATTCAGATATAAGATATGAAATGAGAGGTACTTTAAAGATTGACTACATGATCAAAGTAACTAATAAAATACGATGCAAAGTGTATCCTTATCATGAGATCCACTAGCTTAGGTTCTACGAACAAAGAGTTACATCCCCCAACCAAATCAATCTTAATGATACTAGTTCCGTCAATTGCACCAGTGGCATTTTCAAAAGAATGTGCTCTGTATTAAGTTATTATATATGTCCCTTAGTGCCTGATTCCTCACAGATCACGGTCAAGGATTGATTAGCATACAGTTTTCTCAAAGGAGTAGATTAGACACAATATCCTGTCTAAACCAAAAGAGATCAAATAGTGAATACCAAATAGGATATATTCCAGATAGTCTAGCAGGTAATGGATAGGCTTGAACCATGACACAATAACAACAGGGCATTTGGTCTAGTGGTATGATTCTCGCTTTGGGTGCGAGAGGTCCCGAGTTCGATTCTCGGAATGCCCCCACTGATTTTTTTCAAACTTATAAGTTCTAAATGCTAGCTCAGGATTCTTGCATACAAATATATAATTTGGTTCCTGATCTGTCGTAGATCATGTTCAGCATTTCAACTATGTGTAACTATTAAGCTAAAAATTCACCTAAATCATTTGTATCTGTCAATATCCAAAAACTTTTTTTTGCTGTGTGATCAAGTCTAACGCTAATATAGATACATACCTATTGCACAGAGCTACTGGAGGGTTTTCAAGTGATTGATAATTAGCTAATTGAAACATGTAGACTGATAGGACTTAAATATACTTTTTATAAGATCAAGTTGATTAATAATAAAGGAACATCCTATACAGACTATAAGACATTTATTAGAAGTCAACTAAGACAACCAAAACACAAAATGACCAAACATGGTGATCTTTCACTGGTTTATATAAATTGCTTAGCAACAGGGCATTTGGTCTAGTGGTATGATTCTCGCTTTGGGTGCGAGAGGTCCCGAGTTCGATTCTCGGAATGCCCCCACTGACTTTTTTCTCCTTTTGTGGGAAATATATGGTCCAAATGGCAGCTCAGAACAAACTGCATATAATAATGTACCAGGTTCCTTGGTGTCTAATTTGTCACAAGCAGCCTTTCAACAATGTGTGGAAAGGTAGACTACTCAAATCAACTTTCTTAGATTTGCTTTACAAAAAGGAAAGAAAAACACTCAAAAACAGTTTCAATCATCACAAGCAAAACAGAGATTGAACTGTAAGTTACTAGATTCATTAAGAAATAACCAAAACTACAGGCAGAGAATGAATCAGAAAGAGCGAATACTTACCCTAGTGGAAGAGATGCATTCATTGGCCTCTAAGAAGGAAGCTCTTCAATCATCTAAGCATTTCTGGTGAATCCAATTACTTTGTGAGGCAACAAAGCTGGTTCAGGAATATCGTCGAACGTGTGGCAGGCATACGTTCGCGTCAACCGAATCAATGGGTGGAAATTGGAGAAGACGAAGCGCGAATAACGATAGTTTGCTTTTTGATCCGGCGAATCCTTGCAGTGACAGATGACTGAGCCAGAGAAAAAAGAAGACAGTCTCGCGTGTGCTGTGCGATTCAATCACAAAAGTTGAGCACTCTTTTTTGGTGAAAGTTTATTGCACCTTCATGTCGTTTAACTCAACGGTTTTTTTATTCTCAAGGTAAATAAGTAAATAGCAAGAAGGGTTCACAAATCTAAACCGATAATATGGTCGATAGGGGCGGTTAAGACCATTTCCATCCTAAACGTGCATAAAGTTTTTAGCATTTAATTGAAATTTAAATAAATGAAAACGGTTTAAAATCTTAAGAACTGCTCTTTAGACTGTCTCCAATAGTAGAATTTTTTAAGGAGTTCTCAACAATTTTTTATGCTAAATTGAATAAAAAAATAAATTAAAAACCTCAATTTAGTTTTGCCAGATTTTTAAAGATAATTCAATTAGAGTGTCTAATCAAGAACCAACTTTTAAAGAGATCTTAAAGCACCTGGCCTCTTCTAATTGATTCGTACATGAAAGAAAAATTTAGGCCAAAAATGGACACCCATGTATTAAACCAAATAATTCATGTCTAGTGTTGAGAAGAGAAAAGGTCGAACCAAGGATTAACTCTTTAGAAGAAGGAAGGCCAGCCTGAGAAACTGCTGATGGGACCTGAGTAACAGTTCTTTTCATAGGGGCATCCGACTTTGAATCAGGCATTACATCCGACCTGGTTTTACCCATGACTGAGCCTTTTGGAACATAAGTTTTAGCTTGCTTTTTTACAGGATCCGCTGGAGGAGTAACCGGCAACTGCAGGCAGTTTCTTTGGACATGCCCTAACTCCTTACAATGGGCACAAGTCGGGAGAAGCCAAGGAAATTCGACCATAACCTCAACCACCTCACCATTCTGTCTTTCAAATTCCACCACATCTGGGAGAGGTTTGGTGAGATCAACGGTAACCTTTGCACGAGCCAGAGTCAAACTCACCAAATTCTTGGTGAAATCGTCAGTTTCTATAGGCTCTCCAACAAGACCGGAGATCAAACTAAGACCCCATTGGGTACGAAGATCTAAAGGGATCCCCTTTAGGTGTACCCATAACGGAAGAGACACCAACTCCGGGGATTTCGATGAGTGATTAGAGGCCCACTGAGCAGTGTGAAACAGAGAATCTCCAACATACCATATGCCTTTTTCCAGGACCTTGGCTCGAATGAAGTCATTTGGGATTCTCACGAGCATATTCCTAGCCAGAGCGTTAAGATGGATTTCAATCTTTCTACCTTTCCCCCACATATGGTTGAGAACGCTCTGGATTTGGTTGAAAGGAGGAGGGCGACCATTAAAGTAACAAATGACGAAGTCTTTGTGAAGGTTTGCACCGTGCTCGAAGACTTCATCAGGGATAATGATTCGAGGTCTTCCAGATTCAGCGAAAGTAACTGGAGACAGCCTCTTAAGCGATCGATCTTCATTTTGCCTTATTTTCTCTGCTAGGGTAGGGAAGGAAGAAGGCTGATTACCCGGAGTGTCGACAGCAGGACAAGGCGGGTCAGTAGTTGTATCAGTCAAGACAGGGACAGAGTTTTCCGGAAGAGGAATGGAAGGTTCAGTACAGAGAGAATGTTTGAAAGTTTTTGCAGGGTCCGATGAAGGTTCAATTAGGGATGGAGGGACGGGATTAGAGGAGGGATTTGGCAGGGAGTTGGTTTTGGGAACGGTGAGAGCAGGGTTAGTAACCAGAGGAGAAGAGGATTTGGGTTTCAAGATAGTGATTTTGTGCGGCTTAGTGAGGTCAGATTTAGGGTTTGCAACAGTACCAATCGAAATTTTTGGGGAAATCTCAACAGTTTTGGGCAATCCTTTCTCTGCAGTAGTAAGGACTCCCGAAAGAGCAGTGGGGGAAGCAGGGGCAACAACTACAGTCTCCAAACAGGGAGAAGTTTGCAGTGGTTTTTTAAGGATGAAGATGGGGTTAGAGGAAGGGGATAAAGGGGGAAATTGAGAGAGGGTTAAGGGGGACGAAGGGTCAGGAGGGTCAGGAGGTTTAAGGGGAGGAATGGAGATTCCACCAGCAGTGGACATCGATGGATTCAGGGCGGAAGCGGAGCTCGAAGGGAACCAACGGTTGTTCATGGGGAACCGTGCCAGAGAGAAAAAGATTTTCTCTGCTATGGAAATTTCTCCTCCTAAAGTCTCTTCATCTTTGATCCCTTTTTCCTCTGCCATCTCTCCCTGCTCTCCTCTTCCTCAACCCTCTCTAAAAAGATCTCGCTCGAGTCCCTCTCAAATTAATCGCCTCCCTCTAAATAATGGTTCAGCTCCTCTCTTTCAGACTGAATCCCACCCTCCAAATTTCATCCCATCTCTTACTCCTCCCCCTGTGCAAAACACATCCTCCGTTGTTCCTATAACCCCTCTTTTGTTGACTAATGGTACTCCCTCTCTTTCGGGAGATGCTACCACCCTTTTTTAAATGTGTATAAATCAATTTTTTTGGAATATCCGAGGTCTAAATGACCCGGATAAGCATCGGCCGCCCAATGGCTTCGTGCTACTATGCCCCTTTTTGGTGCTATTTTGGAAACCCATATCTCAAATCTCAACCTGAACCATGTCATGAATAAAGCTTGCCTTGGCTGGAATTTTACCTCTAATCACTTGTCGGATGATGGAGGCCGCATTATTATCATCTGGAGAGCCCCTGCAATCATCAGAGTTCTGCATCAATCCAGGCAATCCCTCACGTGCAAAGTTCAACTCCCCAACTCGATTCAGTTCATCTTCACAGCTGTCTATGCTTCTAATGTTAGTGAAGAGAGAACTGATCTTTGGGTTGAACTCCTAAACTTGCAGCAGTCCTTCTCTCTGCAATCTTGTCCGTGGGTAGTGGGTGGGGACTTTAACCAAATTCTCCATCACTCTGAGCACTCCTCGCCTTCTATCAATCACAACGATATGAGCATGTACCAATTCAGTGATTGTCTTCAGCAACTTGAGCTCTTTGATCTCAGATCACAAGGCCCTCTCTTTACCTGGAGTAACTGCCAACCTACATCGCCGATTGCCAAAAAATTGGATAGGCTCCTTGTTAATAGCCACTGGATCTCCTTGTTCCCTGACAGTATTGCCTCCTTCTCCCCTCCCTTGATCTCCGATCACTGTCCCTGCCTCCTTGACCTGGCCCATCAGTTACCTAAAGCCGGAACCAGACCATTCAAATTTTTCAACTACCTAACCAAACACCCCCGTTTTCACCAGACAGTTGCTGACTCTTGGATTCAGGCCGGAAGCACTGCTAATAACCTTACTTCATTGTGTTACAAGCAGAGGCTCATTAAGGGAAGCCTAAAGTTACTAAATAGAGAGAACTTTTCGCAAATTCAAGAGAGAGTGAGTGAGACTTACCGTTTTCTTCAAGTGTTGCAGGTTCAAGCTCTTCAGCACCCGAGTTCTTCTCTATTCCAGCAAGAAAGAGATCTGCACACAAAATGGAATTTCCTCAGAGATATAGAAGAGAGTTATTTCCGCCAAAAGTCGAGAGTTAACTGGCTCCGTGAAGGGGACCAGAACACTTCATATTTCCATAAGATATTTCAGGTCCGAGCGAGTGGAAACTCAATCCGGTCATTTTTACTACCTAACGATGACCTCTTAGTTGACCCTCTAGAGATGAGCCTTCATGCTGTTTCTCACTTCAAAAGCATCCTCGCCCCTGGTTTCCACTCAGACCCTCTGCTGTCCTCTTCCATCTCCTGGTTCCAGGAGCTAATCCCCTTCAGATGTTCTCCTGCTCAGTCTCGGTTGATGATCTCCACTCCCTCACCTGAGTTAATCACCAAGGTCCTGTTCAAGCTCAACCCTAACAAAGCGCCTGGCCCCAATGGTCTTACCTCAGGTTTTTATAAATCGGCGAGGGATATTGTTGGTGTTGAAGCTACTACCTCACTGATCCACTTCTTCCAGTCTGCGTTCCTTCCTGCTTCAACAAATGCCACCATTCTTTCCTTGATCCCGAAATTCCCTGGAGCTTCGCGGATTTCTGAGTATCGCCCGATCTCTTGCTGTAATACCCTGTATAATGTTATCTCCCGTCTGCTTGTTTCACAGCTGAAACCGATCCTCCCCGATCTGGTCCTTCCAAATCAGACAGCGTTTGTTCAAGGTAGGCTGTTAATTGAAAATACGGTGTTAGCTGGTGAAATAGTAAATGGCTATCATAAGGATAAGGGTCCAAAGAGAATCACCATCAAGGTGGACATTGCGAAAGCATTTGATACTGTATCTTGGGATTTTCTCTTCAACTGTCTGCGTGGACTAATGCTTCCTGAGCACTACATTAAATGTCTACAGGCTTGTGTGTGCACCATTTCATTCACTGTCGGGTACAACGGTTCAGTTCATGGTCACTTCAAAGGGAAGCGAGGTCTAAGGCAGGGAGATCCCCTTTCTCCCTACCTGTTTGTCATTACTATGAACTGCCTTTCATACATGCTGAACAAAGGGGCATTGGACAGTTCCTTTGGGTATCATCATATGTGCGAAGAAACAAAATTGACTCACCTATGCTTCGCAGATGATTTGCTGATTTTTGTTGATGGGGCTACTGAATCAGTATCCAATGTGCTCCGGGTGTTTAATGAATTTGAGCAACGATCGGGTTTAGCTGTGAGCATAAATAAGTCTTGCTTCTTCGGTGCAGGTCTATCTGAGACTGAGATTGAGGACATTTGCACTGCCACGGGTCTTTCACTCGGAACCCTTCCAATGAGGTATCTTGGCATCCCTCTCTGCACCAAAAAACTATCCATCACCGACTGTGAGCCTTTGCTTCATCAAATAAAGGGAAAGATTACCTCTTGGTCTGTCAAGTCTCTGTCTTTTGCAGGAAGGATGCAACTGATAAACACGGTCATTGCTGGTATCACTAACTTCTGGTGTTCAACGTTCGTGCTCCCGAAATTTTGCATAAAGAAAATTAATTCTCTATGTAGCGCCTTCCTCTGGAAGGGAACACTTGAAGGGCACCATTCAGCTAGAGTCTCCTGGGAATCGGTTACAACACCTAAAGATCAGGGAGGTCTGGGTATAAGAGACTTACTCAGGTGGAATAAAGCTTGCAGTTTCAAGCTCATTTGGCTTCTATTCTTTCAGTCTGGTTTAGTATGGGTTGCCTGGTTCAGGAAGAGAGTGCTGCATGACAGGTTAAGTAATTTCTGGTTAGTGAAGCCCAAGCGGGATCAATCTTGGTTAGTCAACAGATTACTGAAAATTAGGGAAGGTGTATTTGATTGGATCAAGCTTAAGGTTCAGAATGGTTCGGCCTGCCTCTTCTGGAGTGATAATTGGTCGCCATTTGGGAGTTTAAACTTCTTCCTTACTCCTGCACGACGAGGTCGTCTGGGGATCCAAAACACTGCAACATTGGCTGACCTCTACTCCGATGGTGTCTGGAATATCCCTGCTCCTAGAACGGACAACGAGCTTAGTCTCAGGATACACCTTACTACTCTTGCTCTCAACAATGAGGATGATTTCTATGAATGAGTTCTAGAAGGAAGAAAAGAAAGAAAATTCTCTACAGGTCGTGTCTACAGTCTGCTTCAAAATCCTTTACCTTTTGTCCCTTGGAAGAAAGTGGTTTGGATCCAGGGGGGTACCCCAAAGCACAAATTCTTGTGTTGGTTGTTTATGCTTAACAGGTGCCCTACGAGAGATCGGCTTGCAGGTTGGGGACTCACCACTCCTACTTCTTGCCTCCTCTGCAACAATTCGGTGGAATCCAGGAACCACCTCTTCTTCAACTGCTCGTTTAGCTGGACCATCTGGACAGCTATTGCAGGGCGCTGTCTTTTTAATCCTTCACGCTCGTGGGACCAAACTGTAGAGGACCTTCTATCAATCTCTGGGGACAGGAACAAGAGGTGGCTTACTCTACTAGCTTGGCAAAACGCAATCTATCTCCTGTGGACTGAGAGGAATCATCGACTGCACAGACAAACCTTCAAATCGGCCGACTCTTTAATCAGGTCCAACGACTCTTACATCAGAAATAGAGCTTCCAGTTACCGTGATTGCAATGACAACAGAGCTTCTGGAATCCTCCAACTATGGCTCTCAACAGCTCCCTGATATATCTCCTTCGCCTCTTCACATTTCCGCCAATTGTTTCCTCTCATTACACCGGTGGCAAGACAGGTGGTAATTGGGTTTCTCCTTAAGCTTTAATACGCTTACTATGGTTCTACTGAGATTTCGGTATATTGGGTTGTTTCTTTCATTTATTTTGGGCTTTAACTGAGCACCTGCTCTCTACAACACTATCCGTTTTTTGGGATTGTAATGTTTTACATTTCTCCTGCATTTAAATATGAAAAACTTTTTCGCAAAAAAAAAAAAAAAGAGAAAAGGTCGAAGGAAAAAAAAAAAATCGAAAGCAAAAAGATCGAAAAAAATGGAAAAGGTCGAAGAGATGTCGAGAGGTTGAGAAACATGCAAATCAAATGGAGGAAAATCGAAGGTTATTGACTAGCGATGGAGCACCAAATGGATCTCATGGCCGATAGAACACCAAATCGATCGTCGATGGAGCAGCAAATCGATGGATCTGCAAATCAAAGTAATGATAATGGGTTTTTTTTATAAAAAAAATTATGTAATTTTATTAAACTTTTTATTAATCAAAATTATATTATTTAAAAAATGTTAAAAACTTCATGAGAGATTTGAAAATACTCTAAGAGGTATGGTTTAAGGTTGAAGTTACTTTTTTTTTTGTCGGCCATTCATTTCATTATGAAACTCATAATGGATACACGTAATATATATAGGCCCAGAAACACCACATAGAAAAATTATATTACAGCTTCAGTATCAAACACGAGTAAATATCACAGCCACATGTCTGTTTCTAGGAATAAGAGAGATGAGTCATCTCTTATGTTGTCACCAGCTTCAGTTGAACATTGCTGACTTCACCGCCGTGACTGTTCACCACCACCAGCTTTTACTTCAATTACTCCAACAACCTCCATGCTTGTGTAACATCTAAGCCTGCCGATCTTCAGTCCTGAAACATAGTTGCCGGAATGAAACAAGCTGTTACCAAACAGCTTCAAAGCTTTATTCCAATCTGAAACTTCACGGATGCTCTGTCGCCGATTAGACCCAGTCTATTGATCTCATCTGTGTCCATCGTTGCTCTGGTATGAACAAGAGGAATAAACAACGAAGATATTACTCCAAGCAATATGAAATCTGAAACAAAACTTATAAGAACATCAAGCATTTCCGACATGAAATTAAAACAGCGGGTAAAGAGATTGATGAATCCGGACTTAGCCAGAAGCACCGA